GCGGTTCCGCCACCGTCCTGCCTCTCCCCATTGGCACCGGCGATGTCACCGGCACCGGTGTCAACCCGACCAACACCCAGCCCGTCGTTGCCGGTGCTGGCCGCATCGCCGGCGGTGCTGTCGCTGCCGTCGCCGTCGCCGTTGCCCTGCTGTAAGAGGCATCGCGATGCGCGCTGTCGTTCAAAGTCTGTCTTTTATTCGTTGTGGTATACCCACCTAGGATAGTCAAGAGTTGGTCTGCTGGGACTATGTGCCCAGGGTAGGCTTTAATGATAATAGACACGTATAATGTATACATGTGGTGTCGGCTTCAGTTCGCATGATGTGAATGTCTTTTTTTAAGATGAGCTTGTTAGAAAGCAAGGTGCAATAGCGGCCTGCGACGTTTGATAGTCTCAAACTCTTTGCAGCCCCAAGCTGAGGTAGTGAACTTGGATTGCTGCTACACGAAAACATTGACCATTGTCTGCCGATACTGCAGCTCCCGACATTGCAAGCGCGGCGGGCGCGGAAGTATGACGCTGGCCACCCGGTTCCGGGCGGCTCAACCGTTAAGCTCCTGGTTAAAGTACTTGCCGACTTCTGACGTAGCAGGGCGAGAAATGATGTGCTAGCCAGCCGCGATGTAAGTAGTTTACTGACCGTCTTGTAGCGTCTCTACATACTGTACTTACTCTTTTCCCTTTTACCCGTCGAGATGTACGAATTCAGTACACTTTGCGCGGAATGCAGACGTCTGCCGCAAAAAACCAGGATGAAGTCGGGTGTACTCGGTATGCGGGCGCTGCGCCAATTTCAAAGGGTTCAGATGCTTTTCTCGTCATACTTTTGACATGTGCCTCGGGACGGACATTTTCTCTCGGAGACAACGGCTGCATCTGAATTTTTTTTTCTTTCCACTCAGCCCAAAAAAGAGACAAATCGAGCTGTGGCGGGCCGGCCGAGGAGCCGCTAACGGCAAAAAAGCGCCTAAAAAAAGCAGCCAGCATGGAGTTGTGAAGAGAATGCAGATTGAAATAAAGACCCGCCTCTCCGGCGAGAGAGACGAAAGGGCGGTTGCCAGATTAGGGTCGAGGGCCGGTTTGGTGGGCGAGACTGCAGGAGGGTTGCATGTGAGGACATTGGGAGTAAGGAGCGAAGGACACTGGATGAGCGAAGACGGTAAATTGTACTTTAAACAAGGAAAATTGACAGTGAATGAAGAATCGCAACCTGTTTTGCTCAGATTTCATCCACACCATGGCCTCTTCAGTTCGTCCGACGTGTTTGTTCGGTGGTGTTCGGGGGAGCGGGCCTAGAAGCTCGGCGGAGAGCGGGTCGTGGCGCAAGCTTGCAGTGGCGGGGACCGGCGCTGTGGCTGATAACCAGTGACAAGGTGCCACCTGCAAACCCGGGTGAGTGGCTGTTTTCTAGGTGACTTAAACCCCGACTTCACGTTTGCCAAATAATTTTGAGTAAAATGTAGTTAAAACTTTCTCTCAGGAACAAAATCTTGTTCGACCTTTTCCTTTGGCACTCCGATACTTGGGCGTCTGCAGCAGAGCCAACTAACAAATCTGGGCGTCGCACCCCATCGCTATAGCGTCACGCATGCTAAGACCACAGTGGATAGCGATAGCCTCGAGCTTCAGCACCTCTTCTTGCTAGCGCCCTTGTCCTGATTATTTTTTTCCCCTTCCCTTTTCAAGGCTTCCTTGGTGGCCGCCACCGAGCTTATCATCTCCTCTCCCTTTTTTTGTTCTCTCTTTTTTTTTCAGTTCTCCTCTTTTATCGTTGTCGTTTCTTGCTTTCCCCCCATCAGCAAATGACCCCCGGTTGACAACCTCTCTTACCCCTCCGTCGTAGCATCAAAGCTTCAAGCCCCCCATTGACTCTCGCCAAACCATGTCCGACGCCACGACGACGGGCGTCGCAACCGCGTCGACCAGGAAGCGCAAGTCGGCAAGCAAAGCCGTCGCGGAAACTCAGCAGGCGCTGCAGAATAAACTCCACGAGCAGCAGCAGGAGCAGGAGCGGGATCTGCCGTCTGGACCGCCCGAGACGCGCGCGCGCAGCAATGGCAGCAGACCGACGCACAAGTATCGCCATGTCGAAGCGACGCACTCGCTGGTTCGCCCGTCGTGCCTGAGCCACGATTCCAATGTGTCGCCTAGCTTTCTGGGGTTTCGCAATCTCATGGTCATTGTCCTAGGTAAGTGTTGGGCGTGCGGCTGATGGCTGAGCTCTGGCATGTATGACGTGCGGGCTGTTGTGGTGCCCCTCACTGACGCCGTCTCCGACAGTGGTTGGCAATTTACGATTAATGATTGAAAATATACAAAAGGTATTTTTCTACAAGAAAAAAAAAGTTACACAATAGTAAAACAACTCGATCAATTGCTAACTCACCCAGTACGGCGTCCTCATCTGCCTCAAATGCCACGACTTTCGCCGCCATGATGTCCTCGTCGGACTCGGCCTCTTCTGCCTCATCCCATGCCATCTCTTCATTGCCTACCTCATCGAGCTCGCCGCCGCGCGGCAGGCCATCCGCTCGCGCAAGCGCATGGTCGAAGGCGCGACTGGCCCCTCGGAGCGCGACCGCCGCAAGTTCACCAACATCTGGATCGTCGTCGCCTGGACGCACATGGTCAACATCACGCTCGCCCTCGTCCTCACCACCTTTGTCGTCTACTTTCATGTGTACCACCCCTTCATGGGCACCATGGCCGAAACGCACGCCCTCATCGTCTGGCTCAAGACCACCTCGTACGCCTTTACCAACCGCGACCTGCGCCACGCCTACCTGCACCCCGTCAAGGGCGAGTCGGTGCCCGAGCTCTACAAGGCGTGTCCCTACCCGGACAATATCACTCTCAACAACCTGACGTACTTTTGGTGGGCGCCTACCCTCGTCTACCAGCCCGTGTACCCGCGCACCGAAAAGATTCGCTGGATCTACGTCGCCAAGCGCCTCGGCGAGGTCTTTTGCCTGTCCGTCTTCATCTGGTTCGCCAGCGCCCAGTACGCGGCGCCTGTGCTGCGCAACTCGCTCGACAAGATTGCCTCGCTCGACTTCTTCTCCATCCTCGAGCGCCTTCTCAAGCTGTCCACCATTTCGCTTGTCATCTGGCTGGCCGGCTTCTTTGCCATTTTTCAGTCCTTCCTCAACGCCCTGGCCGAGGTGACGCGCTTCGGTGACCGCTTCTTCTACGACGACTGGTGGAACAGCGAGAGTCTGGGGTCTTACTGGCGCACCTGGAACCGACCCGTTTACACCTACTTTAAGCGCCACGTCTACATGCCGCTCATCGGCCGCGGCTGGAAGCCCTCGACGGCCAGTTTCGCCGTCTTCTTTGTCTCGGCCGTCCTGCATGAGGTGCTCGTCGGCGTCCCCACGCACAACATCATTGGCGTCGCCTTTTTCGGCATGTTTCTGCAGCTGCCGCTCATTGCGCTGACGGCGCCGCTGGAAAAGATGAAGATGGGTAATGGCGGCAAAGTCCTCGGCAACGCCATCTTTTGGGTCTCGTTTACCATTTTCGGCCAGCCCTTTGCCGCACTCATGTACTTTTATGCCTGGCAGGCCAAGTACGGAAGTGTCAGCCGCCAGCCCATGCCCTCTGGGACAAGCTGATTTTTTCATCTCTCTTGACAATCTTGTTGAAGCGCTTTTTAGCCAAAAGACGGGTAGTTTTAGTCAATTCCAGCCTGTTTCTTCCTCTTTTGCATTTCATTACTAGACATGATGTATTTTCTTCACCCGCGCCTCTCACTCAGCTATATGAACGGTATCCACGTCCCAACCCGTTTCCGATACTGCACATAGTCGTCCTTGAAGAACTCGACCAACTTTTCCTCCTCGACGCGGATTCTGCGGCTGAAGAAACACCACAGCACCGCGGCGTATGCGAAAAAGCACACAACGTTGCCCAGCACCAGCTGCGTGCCAAGGCCCCAGTAAAAGAAGCCAAAGTAGCTCGGGTGCCGCATCCAGCCGTAGATGCCGCTCGTCACCAGCACATGCGAGTCGGCTTTGTTGTACTGGATCTGGTGATTGAAGCTGGCGCCGGCGCGCAGCATGGCCGCCGAGCGCACCGTCTGGCCTAGCACGACAAGCACCAGGCCGAGGCCGAGACAGAGACCACCGACACCACCCCAGCGGCGGCTCGGGAAGAAGACGGAGACGACCGCGCACTCGGCAAACGCGGCGGCGTGCGCAACGGCGTAGGCGGGCCAGTTGGCCGTCAGCAGAAAGCTGTCCGTCGTGGCAACGGGTGTGTTGCGGCGCGCCGTGACCCAAAACTCGAGAAAATGAAACGTCGACAGGACGAGCAGGAAAAAGGGCACGCGCCACGCGGGGGACGGCGTGCACGCGAGTATGAGCGCGGTGAGGAGCAGGCCGGCGGAAAACGCGGCGCCGAGGCAAAAGGCGCGGAGGGCGACGCCGGACAGGGAGCGTGGGCGTCCGGGCTCCAGGTAGGCGATGACGGTGTCATTGGGCTGCGGGAGCGGACGCAAGTATTCAAAGTTGCGTAGGGCGGCGGGGAGAGGATCGGGAGAGGGAGTTTGTGGAGAGCTGTCGTTGTAGTAAGGGGGGTCGCAGAGTTGCATCGAGGCGGAAGTTTGTCGGAGACGCGGATTGGAGCTGGCCATGACGGATAATTTGTGTATGTGTGTTATCGTTTCATTTTTTTTTCGTTGTTGTTGAAGGGGGAATTGGCCCTGTTTAAGTAGATGGCAGCGACACAAGGGGGGGAAGTGGCGATTGAGCGAGCTTCTTGGAAGCTTTGACCGTCAAAGTTGTAAGAGTGTGTGCTTGTTTGATGGCGACACTTGCCGCGACAGCACCTACAAAATTAACTGGTGGTGGGGCAGGCGACGCCAGCAACCAGCCGCACGTGGCGCAGAACGCCAAACACAGGCGCCATGAGAGAGAACAATAGGAAGCATTCGTTGACATATAACAATCCCGCAAGCAATATCGAGTCCCCTGGCTGCTTGATTAAAGGGCTTGCGAGAGTTTTACTTACTAGCCAGGCAAATACTCACGAGAGACGACAATATTTCTTGTGCTCGTTCAACTACCTACCTGTCAAGACCGCCGGGATACTTTGTGTCAGTAGGTGGATTAGACGTAACCGGAAGTAGCTCCCGATAAAGCTTGTAGCAGTTATCGATAAGCCGATATCTACTCCGTACGGAGTAGTCTAGCCTGATTCGGTGATTCGTCGGTGGGGCGAATGGAGCAAAGGCGAACGGGCAGAGACGCTAAATTCGGGGGCGCCAAGCCAAATAAGAATAGCAAACAGCGGCTCCAAGAAGGTTACAAACCTAACTACCTATGCATATCTATTCGTACAAGAGCCCGTGAGCCCCAAAATGCCACCTCTTCTTTCTTGCGTTGTTGATTCATACATCCACCTCTGCGCTTTGGCTCAACGTCCAGCTCCTTGCTGCGTCTGCATTTGTGCATACTTATCATGACGAAGGGCCGATGGGAAGCCATCGAACGGCCATCAAGCCGAGCACGCCTTTTCGTCGTGGCCAGTGAGAAATTAAAGAATCAAAATAGGCTCAAAATCATTATTCAGGACATCCCCAGCTATTGTACGTGCCGTAGTGGCGCCGTCTTGAAAAGGTAAAGGGCCAATGCACGCTGTCTACCAATCACTTGGGGCCTGTTGTGTCGAAAGCATAAAAAAGAGGCATAAACAAGAGCTGTTTGTGAATTGAATATCGATGAATTGAACTTTGAACCAATAGCTGCCTCGAATTTCTGGATCCGCCTTGATAAGCCGGCCGAGACCCTGATCACCGAGTATGGAGCGTTTTGGTGGTCGATGCCGCGCTCGAGACTTCGCACCTGCAAACCTGATGCAATCGGGAATCATATATCAGGTGAAGATACTAGCAGAAAATGCGTCTATTATGAATGACTTTTCCTCCATCCGCTTAGTTACTGATTACGTTGTGTGATGTTAATGTGGCTATGTTGCAAGGTAACAGTGATTCTTGTGACTACTGGTACCTGCTACAACGTTCGTCGACTGCTAAATGGTAGTAATTACTATGTGGAAATTTGAACTGTCTAGGGCTGTGTCAAAGCACATTACCAATCCTTTACCGATTTTCATGGACTGAAAGAATCAATGAATCTCTGCTATGGTCGCTCTCGAAGGTGCTATTCAAGCTATTATAAATCATGTTGGGCCTATTGGTGCTGTAATTGCTGTTCTTACCATCAATGCTATTGTTAAAACAATATTAAGAGCATATTAGTTTTTCCTCCCTGGTGTACATACAACCGTATAGACAAGTTCCAGTAAATTTCATTATATCCTCTATGCACGCTAATGTAAAAAAACAACATGTCGTAAATGATACCGTTGCGGCGGTTGCCGTCCAAAACGCCCGCCAGCTATTACTGCTCTTCTACAGAGCACCTTGTATCGTAAAGGATGAAATGAGAAGAATCAGCAAACAGATGAACCCCCATATGCAGGGAATCCACGTGTTCATCTCGTAGTCGCCCGACTGGTATACGGCGCCGACGCTGTTGCAAAGTTAGCCTCGCCTCCCCAGCACTTCAACCACCCCCCTCGCAACACGATTCTCTCCGGGGTTGCTAAAACGTACACGAGCCCTACTATGCTCCCGGATAGCACCGCCTCCAGTCCGGCGACGCTCAGGTACACAATCGGCGCAAGCCACAGCAGCTTCCACGACCGCCGCTTGAAGCCGTGCGTCATAAAGGCCACCATGACTGCGCCCATGTGGAACAGCGCGTAGACGATGACGGTCCAGACGACGGTGAAGCGCCAAATGTCGCCAATGTGGTACAGCGTGTAGATTTTATTGCCCGTCTCGTCGGAGAGGGTGTGCACGTTGAGCGAGGGAAAGGGTGGCGTCTTGTAGTTGGGCGGGGGCTCCGACATGGCGGCGACGGTGGGCGCGGCGACTGCGACGGCCTGGCGATGGCAAGAATTCGGCAGCAGTATTTGTTGAGGTCATCGCTGATGCATTGATATCGATTGCGCAGTGTCCGCGTGTCTCGTGGTGATGATGACCGTTGTTAAATCTAACTGGCAGGCCGGAAGCTGGAGAAGCTCCCCTGGCGCACGTCACAATCAGTGGGTCCCACAGACCTCGGCACCCGCCTGAACCCAGACCGCGGGCGTCCGCATCCGGGCATCTCAACTTTAACATCTACAAAGACGACGACATCATCAGATTTCCTTCTCGCGCCTGGCACTGCGGTCGCACAGCCTCACAATAATGCCCGCTGACAGGCTCCTCAACACGCTCCTGCAGCACTACCAAGACGTCCACGACGACGCCAAGTCGGAGCAGATCCTCGGCACCACCGTCCACCTGCTCACCCACCTGTCCAACCCGCTCAACCTCGGCGTCCTCACCTCGCAATTACTCACAGCGCCCGCCATCTGGCAGCGGGCCGGCTTCGACCTGTCGCACGCGCTGCGCGTCGTCAGCATCTACAACACGGCCGCCCTGCGCGTCCGCCAGGATGCCGCCGAAGCCCTCGAGCGAAAAAACAGCCTAGGCAGCTCCCTGCCCCCGCCGCCGCCGGCCCAGCAGCGCGAGAGAGGCGGACTGAAGCCGGATGAGTGGGCGCGCGCCGTGGTCAAGGGCGCCGACGACCGCTCGGCGCGCTGGCAGCACCTGCTCGTGCTGACGGGCGTGCTGGTCGGCTTCGAGGGCAACGACCGCCGCACGCTGTCGCGCGGCCTGCGCAACACCCTACAGCAAGCCGTCGTCACGGCGGCCAACCTCGCGCTGCGGTCGCACGCCGAAGACGGGCCGCTGGCCGAGGCGTCCATCGTCATGGCCCTCAATTATGCGTTCCCACTGCTGTCCGAGCATCACCAGGCGCAGCTCGACTGCGATGTGCTGCTGCCTGTCATGCTCTGGGCCATGCTGCGCCAGGGCTGCGGCGACGGTCTCTTCCTGCAGGACATTGCGCGCGACGTGACGCAGGCCGTCGGCGGCACCAGCGGCGGCTGCAGCTGGCCGCAGCACGCTCCCTCATTTGCCATGCTCGTCGAGCTGGACCGGCGGCCCGTCATGAGCAACATGGGCCCGCTGGCCAAGATGGCGGCCTTTGCGGCGACGCATGCCCAGGACACCAGCATTGTGCTGCAGGCCCAGGACGACCTGGTCCTGTTCTCGCACAAGCTGCTCGACGCGTGGGCCAAGAACCGCCTCAGCAGCGTCGAGTTTGGCCTGGCGGGCGCTCAGCTCACCCCGGAGACGCTGCAGGCAACGTGGCCGGTCCTCTGGCAGGTTCTGCGCAAAATCATGTTTGGCGTCGTGGCGACGCTGCAGGCCATTGTCTCGCGGAGCCTGCTCGACGCGCGCATGCTGCACGAGGCTGTCGCTCCGGCTGTCGCGGCCAAGTCGCTGCAAATACTACGAAACCTTCACTTTATATCCTCTGTCAACGGCAACGGCAGTTTTCAAGTATACACGTTTACATATCTCACGTCGCTGGACGTCATTTGCAGGAGCGGCGCGGCCTGTGAAAGGTTTCTCGGCGAATTTCGGCCAGCAGACGGGTTTTCAGCGCCATCAACGCATCTACAACGGACGCTAGATCTTTACTATCTCAACGTCGCAGAGCACATGCCCCTGTCACTGACCACGGAAGCGGCTGATGCGCTCATTATCAAGCCAGCTACTTCTTACCTCGGTTTTGACGGCGTCATGTCCCCGACCATGGTCGAAATCTTTGAGTCTGCCCACAGCGCCGTGCTGTCAGTGCTCTCGTGTCCGCAACACAGCGCGCTGACGATCCAGCTCGCGCCCTTTTACATTGTCAAGCTCTTTGAATCGTTTCCGCAGCGAATCTCGCCGCGGCAGTTCCGCATCGCCTTCAAGACGGTCATGCAGATGGTGTCGCCGCCGTTTGCGATTGCGGCGCAGGAGCCCCTCCTCGGCGAGACGCTGCTCGAGATGCTGCTCCACGCCATTGCCGGCGCGCCCACCACGCCGCTGGAGCCCGACGAGGCGGCGCGGGCGGCCTCGGAAGAGAGCGGCGAGCCGCTGCAGTCGGCGCAGAGCGCACTGGTGCTGACGCTCATCGACGCCCTGCCGTTCCTGCCGCTGCCGCTCGTGGAGGAGTGGATGGCGATGGCGGCGCAGACGCTCAACGGGATCGCGGATCCGAGGCTGCGGCGACCCGTCAGAGATCGCTTCTGGGACATTCTCGTCAACGGGGAAATGGACGTGGAGCGGTCCGCCATTGGCGTCGCGTGGTGGGGGACAAAAGGCGGACGGGAGCTGGTTCTCGGTCCGGGAGCCGGGCCCGCGGAGCCGCCGATGATGAGCGGTGCTCTGATGACGGCGGAGAGCAAGCTTTGAGGGATTTTAAGGAGACCCTCTCGGGTATTGAATCGTGTATACTAGATGGAAAAAGTATATTTTACAGCGAATATAACATAATGATACCACATGCATGCCACTGTCTCCAAGAGTGCTTGCTTTTTTTTTCCGAGTCGCTAGCGTCACGGCTACATGGGCAAAATGGGCAAAATAGCCAGCAACCTGGGCTGTAATTACTCCATCGCAACGGCATGATTTAGTAACAGTAATCCGGCAGCGAGACGTTGAGCGGTGACTCGGAAACTCGGCGACAAGACCCCAGTCGGCAGCAGCAAGCTAACGACGCTCGTGAGAGGGGAAGTGGGCGGGAACCAGAGGGGCACAAGGCTAAATAAATCGTGGGAGACCCGGGCAGGTTGGCAGGTCACGAAAGACGGGTCCGCCGTGAGTAATTTCGCGCGACAAGGTCACTGCAGCCTCTTTGCAGCTCAGTTGGGATGAATGTGATGGGGAGAGATGGGGTGATGCATCAAAGACAGGCGAAAGCCTTGCAAGGAACGCATATGCAAGCCCCCGCGTCGGCAAGCCCGACATCTGAGGGTACCTACTGGCCGCGGGAGGCATACCAAGCATCTTGCAGCCTGGGCGGCTACATGCGCGAAGGGGAACGTACATATGTAGGGACAGTATCAGTAGAATGGATTCGGATCAACCGCTTGCGGAGTATGTTGGGACGAGTTGATATGTGTAACCTGCCTCAATGCAGGCATAGGTGGTGCCATGATGCTTAGCGTAAGAGTACTGTAATTCATTCCATGGACACTTTTTCGCGGGGTGACCATGCTTCCCTTTTTTCCAATCGTTTTAACGATTACAATCAAGACTATAGTTAAGGAGAGAGAGAACTGAACCCCCAATCTCTAGCATTCCGAGCGACAAGTCTAGTCTCACAATAACAATCTTGACAATGCCATGTCCCATGTCCATGACCACTAACCCACTAAATATTAGCACCTTGCCGCAGCTCACAAGCAACAATGGGCTTAGAGGCAGGCGCCTTGCTCGCTCAGTTCGTCATACAACTGAATACCTCTGATGCCAGAACCCAAACTCATCTCCGAGATGGCGATGCTTGCGCTGTCCCCCCTATTTCCCCCCCAGATCTTGGCAGACAGAGAACAAGATGAAAAAGGCCGCGATGCAAATCACCAACCAAGGACCCGAAACGGCGCATGTGCAGAAAAGCATCGGCCCCGCCGAGTCGGAACCCTCTCTAATAATGCACAGCTCGACATGGAACTTTGCAACTCACTCATTGACAATTGACAAGGCAAAGGGATCCCTCCCCCCCTTCTCTTGTTGGCTTCGTGATTAGATCCATCTCTGAAGATGGGTGAGACACGTCAGCGCACCTAATCCCTCCCTTTCTCAGCTGTACCGACCAAGGCTGTCTCTGCTTCGCCCGTTGGCGAGCGCCAATTGGCGTGCTAACTCATTCGTAAATAGTTGCCAGCCCGTGGGTGGCCGCTGCATTGATTGGGAACATGGCCCTGTCCAGCTCGACAAGCTTCTGCTGCGCCGCAACATCCAACTAGCGCAGGCCCAGATCTGCAGCCAGCTAGCTAGTCAACCCCCCTCATTGCCCCCCCTTCCCTTTTGCTAATAATGAATGCACAAAACAAGCTCTCTCTGCTCTCCATCAAACTGCCCCTCCCCTTCCAATGGAAAGCTCCTCTGCGGCTCGCGGCACCGGCGACCCCCTCACTGCCCGTTCCAGACTTCCGTGGCACACGCCCCCCCTTGGCGGAGCTGGCTCTGCACCCGCACCCTGGCACATGGGACCAGGGAGAAAAGCTTCACACCTTCAGACGTACGTCCGAGATAGAACGGACTGCACCGGGCTATTACGGCATCGTCACACACACACCCCTCTCTCCCCCATTTGGTGGGTAGCCCGCGTCGCAAGCTTTCAGCTGTCCTGGGCGAGTTGCCAAACGTCATTCCTCATCTCTGATGGCGTGAGGGGTCGTGAGGGGCTATTGCGTGGGTGGATATGAGAGAGCTCGAAGCGTCCTGATGAGAATGAGCTCAAGAGGTACCTTTGTAGCTTGTAGTATAAACCGACGCTGCCCCCGGCTTTCTCATCTCTCGTATCTGGTGCCTTATTCGCTTACCCGAAATAAAATTTGACAATTTTATAAAATTCATATCTTCAATAAACAAATCCATCATCATGTCTTACCGCGACGACAGCAACGTAAGTACAGCTCGTGGCTTCTCTCCTTGCGGTGCTCCCGCTAACATGAACAATATAGTCCTACGGAGGCAACACCGTATGTGATGAGAGCACATCTCACTTATTACACCAATTTAAAAAAAAGAATAAAAAATAACCAACAATGGCTAACATCATGATAGGACAGCTATAGCTCGTCTGGTAACAACTCCTCCAGCTTTGGTGGCTCTGGCAACAACCGTCGCAGCAATGACGACGACGACAGCTTCGGCTCCTCCGGCACCAAGAGCTCCAGCTACGGCTCCGGCAACAACAGCTCCAGCTATGGCTCCGGCAACAACAGCTCCAGCTATGGCTCCGGCAACAACTCGTCCAGCCGCCGCAACAACGATGACGATAACGACAACAGCTACGGTTCCAGCAACAAGAGCGGTTCGTACGGCTCCTCTGGCAACGATAACTCTTCTAGCAGCTACTCCTCCTCCGGCAACAACAACACTTCTAGCAGCTATGGCTCGTCCGGCAACAACAACAACTCCAGCAGCTATGGCTCTGGCAACAACAGCTCCAGCCGTCGCAACAATGACGACGACAACGATAACAGCTACGGTTCCAGCAACAAGAGCAGCTCGTACGGCTCCTCTGGCAAGGACGACAACACCTACGGCTCCAGCAACAAGAGCAGCTCGTACGGCTCCTCTGGCAACGACAACACCTCTGGCTCCTACGGCTCTTCTGACCGCACTGGCGGCTCCGACTCGTACGGCTCTTCTGGCCGCACCGGCGGCTCCGACTCGTACGGCTCTTCTGGCCGCACCGGCGGCTCCGACTCGTACGGCTCTTCTGGCCGCACCGGCGGCTCCGACTCGTACAGTTCTTCCAAGCGTGACGACGACTATTAAGTGGTTTGTCCCGCAAGGGATAAGCGGCTCTCAATTTTGTAATGATGAAGGATTTCTTGACTTGATATAGTCTCGCAGCAGAGACAGGCCCTCTCTGGGGCCCAATTTGAGGTAGCATCTCCAAATTGAAATTGACTACCTCTATTGAGATTCCAATGCACTGCTTATAAGACAAGCCTCTGTGTACACTGTGAGACGATCTCTGAGACATGATCAAGAATTTGATGAAACATGTAGTTTTAGTTCTGTCAAGTCTAGGATACATGCTTGTCTACCTTGACCAGGATCACGCCTTTGGTGTATCGGCTCTTGCAGTCCCAGAGGTGGATGAAGCGGTACCCACTGGCCAGGCGATCCAGCCGCACGCACGCCCACGCCGCCAGGTCATCTTTTCCAATCTCATCATCACAGACTTTGAACCGGACAAATGTGAGCTCCTCCACAACGCCCGTGATTCCCTGAAACGAAAGCACTTGACCGCGAAAGTCCACATCCGCGCCGCCCCGGTGCGACTTGGTGTGTGCCTTGTAGTCACCATCACGTTCGTGGCCCTGGTTCGCGAGCCCCCGCTGGTTGAGCGAGGCGAGGTCATGACTGGGGTTGCCGTCAACGTGCAGCTCCATTTTGACGTAGGGGTGGAAGCCGCTGTCAGAGGTGTCGCCATCTGGCGAAGGAATGGACTGGGCGGCCAAAAAGGTAACGGATAGAGAGAGAGTTTTGCGAATAATGGTATTTGGAGTTGATTTGGTAGGAATATTCGGGCGGTAGCCTGAATGACATTAGTTGGTTGCATGAAATGATTTGCTGAGAGGAAAAGGAAAAGAAGAAGGAAGAGAAAAAGTAAAGAGAAAAAAGAAGAGAAAAGGAAGAATATCAAAGTACCTTGTGGTTTTAGGATATAGCCTTTTGTGCCTCCAAACATGCCCTGGTTGAGCATCATCCCCTCGTCCGTCTGCTGCCAGTTGAGAGCGACAATTTGCGCGCCGGCGCCCCAAAACGGCGGAGGATTGAGATTCGAACTCCCAACGCGGAAGCCAGAGGGATACGCCCGCAGCATATAGTCTCGATTGTGCTCGAAAAGTTTGCCACTATTCTCCGCATGATGCGTAGTAAACTTCTTCTCCGACAGCGAGAATATGTGGGCGGGCATGGTAGCTTCAGGTTGCGCCCACGACTTGAAGCTAACGGCGCGCGTGTAGATGCCAAGATCAGATAGCGCGCGTATAATCTTGGACGGCTTCTTCTTCTCTGCCGCTTTGACAGGTAAATCGCTGTCCGTGCGGCCGAGGTCGCCAACTTCCTCCTCACTTCCCTCGCCAGGGCTCTTATCTGGCGGTGCGTACTTGACCTTGACGAGAATTCTGCCGCGCAGGGCGTCCGGGCTAGGCAGGATTGCTGGCACCTGGTCTTCTGGCGGCGCGACCACGGCAACGTCGCCCCAGGCCTCTTTCATGATATCGACCATGACAGCTTGCTGCTCGGGGTTGCAGTGCACCTCGAGGCTGATGATGAGGGGCAAGTCGCTGGCCTCGAAAGCATGCTTCCGAATGGTGGCGCACACGTCGCGAAACGACACCTCTTTGGTGAGTGTGTAGCCGTGCAGGACGCGAGGTTCATTCGCAAGGGAGGACTGTGAGCTGGAATGCAGCCGAGTTGGCGAGTGGTTGTCAGTATCGGCGGCACGGTGGCTTGTGGTACGCTCAAGCTTCCGCCGCAGCGCCCCGGTCTTGCTGAGCCGCGAGACGACGGATTCTGGTACGCGAGATTTCAGCTTGGCGAACCTGTCCAACGTGCTGTGGCTGTCCTTTTTGTCCGCTTTGACGGTATCCTCATCATCAGAGTCGCTCTCTGAGCTCTCAGCGTCGCTGCCTGTGCCATCCCATACATCGATTTCGACGCAGCGGCAGCCGCGTCGCAGTACATTAGCATAGGCTTCCGTTGTGCTGTCGCTGTACAGTTGATTGCCGGTGAGATATGTATTGTGACTAGACGAAATAAAGTATGCCGACAATGGCCAAGACAAGTCTTCGTCATCGCGAGGGAGAATGGCTGCGGCGTCAGATGAGGCCATGTAGTCGAGAAAAGTGGCGAGATCCAGCGAGGGCATATCGGCCTCATCGTCAAAGATTTGGTCGTGCTTCTGGACATCCCGGATAAATTGACTTGTTTGTGAAGCTGTCCAGACTTTGTCGGATCCTGCATGTGCGTCATAGATGGAACGAAGATGCTTCAAGACATTGGGCTGAAAGCTTTCGACGACGCGAGCCTGGGGAAAGCGCTGGTCCGCCGCATCTGGGGCCTCGCTAGACGACCGAGACGTGGCATCACCCATCGTAGTAAAATATGTTGGATGAAACAATATATGTCTAGATGATGATAGTCAACGCAATGCGGGTGGTTGTGAAAGGAGTATTCGATTGCCTCGTCGGCGCCTTGAAACAGGGAGGATGGAGAGGCGAGGTCAGTGCAAGCTAATGGCGGTGGAGGCCTCGCTACCAGGTAGGTAGGTAGGTAGGTAGTGGTGTAAAGCAGGTTGTGCCCGCATGCAGCTCGCTACGTTTCTTGCAATGGCGTGGGATCTCGCATATTTTATGTATCATGTATCATCTATATTGGCTGCGAATTCTTGGCAAATCATTGCATCGCGCCCAGAGCCAAGCTCTGTGGCTGTTGGAGGAGCGGGTTGGCGGGGTACTGTCGTAGCTGTAAGTTTGTTAGTATTCTTTCATCGCCCTAAACCTGTCTTTCTACATTTGCTCACTAGTCTAACATGAGGAGGGTAGATGATGTTTGAAGTTGTTTTATTTGCTAAAAGATGAGAGTAACTTGAATCTACCTACACCTCGTCGTCTCATTACTAGAGCATGCGACGGGAATGATACATGGCGAGCAGAGTCCACCTCTACCTATAGTTAGTTAGAGTCAACGCAGTGGACCACAACATAAAACTTGGGGGAACAAACGGCGTCGTACGTGAAGTGATACGACAAACTTGGACCTTGAACGTAACTTGGTGTCCATCAAAATAGTAAAATATATATATAAAAAAAAATCGCTGCTTAGCGAAACTAAGTAATAAAATATAAATATTATGATTATCCAGTCGTATGTAGGATCTCTGGCCGGATGCTACGGAGCTAATCCGGAAAAGAATAGGCGCGAGCGATTGCATCCGCGGGAAAATGCCCACGTCCGTGGTGCTATGAGTATTGCCAATTCTCACTCCGTTTCACACCTTCATATCCTCAAAGTTGAGCGTTCTGCAGCACCGGTAACGCCGTAAAATGGCAGGCAGCGATGGACTGAGGGCCCCCGTCGCTGATGCGGCGGGTCAAGTTCAAGAAGCTGATGGACAGCAGACCGCGGGCGAAAAGACCTCGCGCCAGAGCAATGTCTCGTCTCCGCGTCGGCCATGGAAGCTCCCTGCCTTGCTGGATCACTTCAACAAGCGCGATCTCAAAGTCGTCTTCCGGTGCTGGATCGCCACCTGGGTCGCGACGCTTCTCATCTTTATCCAGCCGTCGCTTGACAAGATCGGCATCGCCACCTTCTTCGCCGCCCTCACGCTCTACATTATTCCTCCCGCCACCATCCTTTTTCCGTACCTGCTTTCCGCATTCTCCGCCCTCCTGGGCATGTGTCTGGCCTGGCTATGGGGTCTACTCACGATGAAGGCGGCCCTGGCGGCGCGGCCGGCGTCAGACACCAGCACGAGGCTCGCCGCGCTCGAGCAGGCCGCCGCGCAGAAGGCTCACGAATTCGGCACCAACGCCGCGGATGAGGCAAAGATCCTCGTCCTGAATGGCTTCATGCTGGATGCGCGGGTCACCGCCGTCTTCTACGTCATGATTTGCGTCTTCATCTACGCACTGGCACGGCTACGATTGACCAACCCAAAATTCAGCTTCATGCAGATTTTTGGCACCATTGTTATCGATGTCTTCTTACTCAATGCGCCGAGCCTGCCTTCTTTTAACGGCAGCATTGGAGGTGTCCTAGTGAAGCCGGGCGCCATCGGCATTGGCCTCGGAGCCGTGTCCTGCCTCTTGTTCTTCCCCCAAACCACCTCGTACGCCATCATGGCCAAAATGGAGGGCCTGCTCCGCACATTCAATGCCACCATAAAGGCCAGTGATAGGCGCCTACGGAAAGAAACCATCGACCTGGCGAGTCTCAATGTTGACCGCGCAAGGTTAATTGGCGTCTGGAAAGCCCTGCAGCCTCTCATGTCGCTGCTGCCTCTTGATGTTGCTCGCTGTCTTTGGAGTGCTGATGATCTTCTGACGCTGCACAAGCTCTTGCAAAAGGTCATGCGAAAAAGCGTGGCGCTAATCGACCTGCATATTGCGGCACTCTCTGCGGCAAACCAAGAGGAAATGGTGATGCACTATCGAGAGGAGCAACTCAAGACTGCGACTCAGAATGAGACAGGACATACGATTCGTCCAGGCCATCACCATTTACAAGAGCTTGCAACAATAATGAGCGCATTGCATGGCGCAGGATACGGGGACCTCCCCGATGGAACTGCGACGCCTGGGGAGCTTCCCTCGCGGCTCTTGACAACCTGTTCCGAGTCCATCGACCTCGCCGCTCGCTGTATACACGAGATCAACAGCTGCCGCTGGATCAAAAGAACCGCAAAGGAGACAGCTGGTACTTTTGCCGGCGAGTTGCAGGCCAAGTCTGAGGAGCTGCGATTTTTACGAGAGCGCTGCGCTGCAGAGACGCCTGAAGCACTTCTTTCAGATCACGAGGATGCATTTGATGAGTCTGGTTACTTGCACTCCCATAATGGGAGTCGGAGCGATCCAATACCTCTTCGCGACCTTACAACAAACTTGGCACTCAACCAACACATTATGGACTTTTCTGCCGCACTTGAACCGTTGATCGACCATCTGGTTTTTCTTCTCCACGGACGGACGGAAAGCCGCATATGGCTGCCCATCACTTTACGGCATGCCATATCCTGGCTTGTGACTCCCAAGTCTTCCGATCAAGAGTTGGGGACGGGCTTCGCTGCAGATCAAACTCCAAGCTTGACCGAAGCAAAACAGGTTGCGCAAAGACGCACGAGTGAGCTCAAAAGCCTCAAGGGCGTCCGAGACCTCAAGCGAAACGCCATGCCAAAGTCCCGTCTCAGCGCAAGCATCATCATTTCGTATAGGTGGCTGACGAACCCTGCCGGGATGTTTGCAGCGCGTGTGGTCATTGTCACCATTGCGACATCTATACCTTCAGCGATCCCAAGCAGCGCCGGTTTCTTCTACCGCGAGAAGGGTATATGGGCAGTCATTACCGCCCAACTCACGCTGCTTCCCTTTATGGCGGACTTTATCGTTTCCATCTTGTCGCGCGCCGCCGGTACAGTCGTCGGCGGTGTTCTGGGCATGCTTGCATGGTATATTGGCTCTGGATCTGGCAACGGCAACCCGTACGGACTAGGAGCCGTCACCGCCTTTATGACGGCTATTATCGTATGGCTGCGTCTATGGGCCCCGCACATGTACACGGTTGCGGGCATCATGTGCGGCGCTACGTATATCCTCGTCATCGGCTTCGGCTACGACAACCACCACATTTCGACATATGGGCTTCCAGGCCAAGGTTACGTAGCGTTTTGGAAACGTGTCGTGACCGTCTTTATAGGACTCCTCGCCGCTGCTATTGTGCACATCTTTCCGAAGCCGACGTCAGCCACGAGCCACGTTTGCCACGTACTGGCCAAGTCGGTGCGCCGAATGTCGGATCAGTATGCCATTTTTCTCCTATCTCAGAAACGCCCTGCTGAGAATAGCAGCCTGTGCGTCCTTGCCGAGCGTGACTCGTTTGATCTCGGCCATTCACTATCTCTCCTGGAGCCATCTATCCATTTGGTCAAGGCCGAGATGAGCTTTGGACCGTTTGACCAGAAGCCATTGCGAAAAGCTCTAGAGGAGTGTCGAAACTTGAACAGGTCACTGACGAGGCTTTTGAGTATTACTCATACACTACCGCCAGACCTCAAACATCGTTTTGAAACCGTAAGTGGCCTGCTCGATGACCATGTCATCGGCGACATCATGGCGGTTCTCCATATCATTCAGGAAGCGTTCGAAAACGGGGCGTCGTTGCCGGAAAGGCTACCTACGCCTCTAACTCGAACATTCTATCAGGCGTGGCAAAGGCAAAGGCATGAAAGGCCAAATAGAGCTCTTTTGCGACACGAAAGTTATCCTCAGTACTGCGTCGTGGTATCTTCCTATCTCAAGTTTCTATCCACCATTGACAATCTCGTCCTCCTTCTTACAGAAACACTTGGAGAGTCTCACATATTATTCGGATGGGGTCAGGAAAGTGCCGTCTAGCGCTGCGGTGTACTGAATATCTCTCACCTGAAGGAGACCAGAGGCGATAGTTAGGAGCTTCAATGAAACTTGATCTAGAGAAATAGCCACAATGCTAACCAGGAGATGAAGAAGCCCAATAGGTTCCAGATTGTTCTATCAGCGAATGGCCCACTGCTCTTTAAAAAACATGGCGGAATTCTGGCTGTTCTTTGTTTGAAGTCGGCTGTCAGCCCCGCAGCATGGGAGCGAGCATGAGACTGAGCCTTGCCATTCTTGAAGTTTTTTATCTTTAAATGACTTCTACTCGCTCTATTGAATGTCAGGGACTTGCATCATCAAAAGTTCAATTGCAATCATGAGTGTCAGAGGGACATGAAAGGCGCAGCAACTGGTCGGATTACTTGGCTTCTCCCTTGTCTCCAATGCTGTCTGTTTTGATTTGTTGCTAGCGACATTCATAGGCCCATAACGCGCTAACAAACCAGGGAAAGGGAGGCAAGGAGGCCGAGGTATTGGTCAAGTGTGGGCACTTTCAACGCCGTCATCATGCCAGTTGAAGGAAGGCAAAAAACCTGGTATGGGCGCGTGGTATGTGGCATTGTCTACAAGAGAACAATACAGGAGAAAACCTCTATTTGGCACTGAAACCGAGACCACAACTTTTATCTCTGTAAGTGCTTCACTGCTACCACTGATATGTACAACGCGACATGAGAGGCTCGATCGATATCATCAGGCATAGTCCAACAAAAAATAAGATGCCAAAAGCAATTTCAAACTTCAATGCTGTATCTTGTATACTAGTCATGCTAGCTAATTAATATACGCGCAAGGTGTCATGGGGATGTTATTATTGTTTCATTGTGGTATAGATTATGTAAGGGTGGTGGCGGCTCGGAACGCGATGCTAGGTCCGCGCCAGCTCGGCCTGCATTCACCTTGATCGTCGAGACCACCACAAAACTCGCCATGTGAGGCCATTAAACTCCGCGCTTCCCAGTCCATCTATTGCGTCTCATATTGAAACAGTCTCCATCTCAAAGGAGCCCTTCTTTGCCCACGCGCAAACGCCGCCCGTCATGGCACTGCCCGTGTCGCGTTACCTGCCGTTTTCGCCCTCCACCACGGCCGTGCAGGCTGCGACCTACCTGCTCGGCATATCGCTGTTTAGCATCTCATTCCTCGTCTTCCTCAACAGCTCCATCTCCTTTGTCATCACCGACCTCATTGGCAAGAAGCACGGCGTCGGCAACATTGTCGGCACGCTGGGCTTTGCCGACGAGCTCGTCGCCCTGGTCGCTTGCCCAGTATGGGGTCTTGTTTCGGACCGGCTCGGTGTTCGCTGGGTCGCCACGATTGGATACACCATCATTGCCGCTGCGCTTGCACTCTTGGTGCAGGCAAATAATGTCTATCCGCAGCTGCTGCTTGCGCGCATACTCTTCGCCGTCGGCGCGTCTGCCGCGTAAGTCACTCCTTCGCCCTTGCTTCGCCCGTGACCCATGTTGACCATTCCTCCTTAGCGCCACCATGGTGACGGCCATTCTGCCTTCGCTCACCAATGATGGCGACTCCGTCAAAGCCAGGCACTCGCCCGTGCCAAAGCTCACGCGCAATCCCCGCCACAGTGCCGTCTTCTCGATGGAGTCAGAGGCCACCATCACGCCAGAAAGGTACTCGCGCAGCATATCCCCCCGTGAGCGAGACGAACCTGCTCCCGAGACGCCCACGGAAGCAAGGAAGCCTTCAGTCTTGGCTGGATTCGTTGGGCTATTTACTGGCTGCGGTGCTCTGCTGGCCCTCGTACTTTTCTTGCCTCTGCCTGTCAGGTTTGGCGGGATTGACGGTGTCACGCCTGGACAGGCCGTATCATACAGCTTCTACGTCGTCTCTGTCGTGTCACTTGTGGTGGCAGTGTTTGTCTTCATTGGTCTACGTAACCTGCATGGCGAAGACGGCAAGGGCTGGCGTGTGCTCTTCGGTCGCAAAAGCTGGTACCAGACGCAGCTGGAAAGCGAGGCTGACGAGCATGGACAGAAAGTGGTGCCCTATATTAGTCTACTCAAGGACGCTGTGCTCTTGGCCTTCACCGACTCTAGAATCAGCCTTGGATACATTGGGGGTTTCGTGGCTCGAGCCTCGACTGTAGCCATATCTCTGTTTATCCCCCTTTACGTCAACACCTACTTCATCAGCAACGGCTTCTGCACCGGATCGCCTCATGACCCTTCTCCAGAATTGAAAAAAGAGTGCCGATCTGCCTACATTCTCTCGTCAATTCTCACCGGCGTCGCACAGCTCATGGGCCTCATCTGTGCGCCTATCTTTGGCTACGTATCTAGTCGAAACACCCGCGTCAACTACTCCATTGTGGTTGCTACGGTGTTTGGCATTATTGGATACCTTCTTTTGCCACAACTTCAGAGCCCTGAAATTAAGAATGTGGATGGTCGTGGCGGCACGCCTGCTGTGTTTCTTGTGGTCACTCTGATTGGCATTAGTCAGATTGGTAGCATCGTATGCAGCCTCGGCGTCCTCGGTCAAGGTGTTCTTGCTGTCGACCTGCAGCGCACCTCTCTGCGCGACGAGGCAGTCCCATCTCTGGCCCCCGACGAGGATGAATCAGGAGACGGCCACGAGCCTCGGATCCGAATCGCGACTGATGAAGCCGCCGGCTCGCGTGTTCGTCTCAAGGGCTCAATTGCAGGTGTCTACTCGCTGTGTGGTGGCGCGGCCATCTTGCTACTGACGAAGCTAGGTGGATTCCTATTTGACAAGGTGAATACTGGAGCGCCGTTTTATATGATGGCTGGCTTCAATGCTGTGCTACTCGTTGCGAGCTTATGGGTGGATGCTGCTAAGGCTTTTGCCCGAATCTAAGCAACCCTACAGCGTTCACAGAGGCGGCGTTGAAAGTTTCAAAGGCGTCCGCCCCTGTATGAGACATGAAATTGTATAAGAATGTCTGGTTATTGAAGCGATTTGAATTTGGATTGCGCGCATGCTCAAGTTATGAAAGATGGATGAGAAGACATAACAAACGATATACATATACATCATGTCTTCTGCGAAGAATATCAAGTCAATTTTAAGACGTGGGAAAACAAAGACTCGATGATATTCCATAACAAGTCACAAGTGGCGAAGCATGTCTTGTTGGGCTTTATCCGGGCTGTCAATTAGTAGAACGAAGCGTCGGTAAGGCTCATTCAAGACTCGGAACATGGTCGGCTACAATATGATTGAAACGCCGAATCCGGAAATGCGCCTTTATTCGCAATGTCTCTCTCGTTAATAAGTTGGTTGCTCTCTTTCCTGGTCTGTCATGGCTGTTGTGGAGTCTGAGCACTTGCGAAGCCACTTTACAAGTGATTATAGTTCGACCGTGGAGACAACTAGCGGCCATAGATTAGCTGGGAGATCGTCAGACTGAAGTCCAACTTCAATCCTACGGATTTAGATACCTATCTGAAGGTCGTGTGTTCGAGTCACACTGGCCGCAAGTTTCTTTTTATTTTCTTTTTTTTTTCGCTCCTGTTTCTTTGGCCTTTGCATCTTTTTTGAAGTTGACTTTGCTTACTACCGTGTTCCCAACCCACTGCATTTGCATTAAAGAGCTCTTATTCAGTTAGTCTCTTTCAATCTTGGTGACTGCTACAAGGCCCATTCTAATGAATCAAATCGCGGATGACGGGTTAATGGGGACCTAGCCAGCTTCAAAGCTGTCCGAATTACCTTGCGACCAACAGACCCAAACTGGAATTTATCCGAACGCAAACCGAACAAAGTTAATCATGTCGCAAGTTGCCGCTTTGCCACCCCATTTTCGAAATCATATCTCGGGTATTGACTACTCGCGGAAGCTGGCAATCATACAGGCGGCTCTTCGAGGCAAGCCCACGCCGCGACTACGCCGCGACTACGCTGCAAGAATGAGATAATGTGTAGCAAACAATTGGTCATGTAAAAAGTTTCCTATTACGCCGTGATTGAATAAACTCCCGTTTTTAGTGCCGCCCAGTATCCCAATTAAAATTTGTTTCCCCCCGCATGCTACAACAACACACAACCTCACTCACCAGGCCCATAGCACCTTGTGGTACAGCGTCCGCGGCCCCAGACGCTCAAACTCAAACGGCGTGATCCACGAATCGTTGGCTGGGAGCTTGGCAAAGACGCTCGCGCCCTTCCACGCGACGACCTGCTCGTCCATGTCCTTTGCGCTGCGGCTGACGAGGATGCGCTCCGTCAGGTCGGGCCGTCGCGCCTTGAGCTTCTCCTCGAGCACGACGGTAAATTGCGGAATCTTGGCGCCGCCGCCAATGACCATGATACTGCCGAGCAGGTCGCGCAGCTTCTTCTCGTCACCCTTGGCGGCGTTTTGGATGCTGGTGAGGATGGCAATGTCGAGGGGGGCCACGGGCAGTACGGCGTCGCGCTCGGCGGCCACGTCCTCGGCGGTGCGCTCCTGCGACTCGGAAAATAGGCCAGCAGGAGGCTGCGAAGCGCCGCCGCCGCCGCCGCCGCCGGGTGCGGGGCTGCCGCCGTTGAGGTCCTTGCCGGCGCCAAAGATGAAGGGCGCGGGCGTGCCGGAACCCTCGGGGGCGGGAGAGCCGGCGTGCGAGGCCATGGGTGTGCCGTTGGCATCGCTCTTGAAGCTAAAGCCCGGGCGCTCCTTCATAGGCGTGGACACTTCCTGAGACTGGGGTTCGTTGGAGACGAGTGACGGTTGGACAAGGGTGAGAATGGCGAGCTGTGCGGCCGAGACAGGGTCATCCGGCATGTCTACCTCGTATGAGTTGTACGAGCGCTCAATCAGCTTGCGTCTTCCGCGAAGCTTGGTGCTGTTATCGAAAATGGATGGGTCAAAGACGCCCATCGGCGAGAGGATGACTTCGTCGTAGGTCTTGAATGCGTATTTGCGTGTAGGCTCGTTGGGAGCGCGGACGTGAAAGTTGTATAGCTGCACCGAGATTTCTGCTTGCGACATGGTGCAGTGCTTGATCTTGAGCTCCTCGGCCAGCAAAAAGTCGGATCGCTTTTGCAGGTTAATCTCCTGGTAGGGGAAGTTGTCGTATAGCATCATCTTGATGAATGTATCAGTCATATCATAGCCGCCGTATTTGAGATTGACACGCGAGTCCTCTATACAGAGACCATCCTCCACGCAGGTGATGGATGTCTTTTGAGCGCCGACATCGACAACGCAGGCTTGTGTATAGCCAGCGCCAAAGGTAGCCGCCATGCTCTCCTGGACAAAGCAGACTTTGCTAAACTCGAACCATGTCATGCAGGAGTGCAAGATTTGCTCGACGTACTTCTTGTCGTAAAGATCGGGGATGATGAAGACACAGCTGTACTGCTGCCACTCGCTGTTGGTCCTCAGGCCGAGTTCCTGTCGAAGTGCCTTGTCGAGTAGCGTCTCAAAGTCGTCGTACAGGTGCTCCTGGCTCGCGTACCCGTCTTCGTTCAACCATCCGTGCTGAAGCGGCCACCATATTTTGAATTTGGGATCCGAGTCGTCGGGAACGCGCAGGGCTTCGTGGCCAATGAAGCACTCGGCCTCAAAGTCAGTCTTTTTCAGTTTCTTTACGTCGGTCCATGCCACTTCCAGCGGGTCGTTGTGCTGCTGGATGATTTCGGGCTCCGTTCGTCGGTTAAAGGTCTGCACGAGTTCCTTGGAGTTGGGCAGCACCTTGCGCTTGTTTTGGCGCATCTCAACCTTGAGGTCGGCGCACATTTTTTGGTACTTTTTGGACCACTCCTCGCCGTACTGCTGCTCGGGGGTTTTGGCTTCGAAATGGCGTCGCGGCAGAGCCTCGTAAATTTCGGATTCAGTTCGCTCAAACTTGGTGGCGAGAGCGGTTGGGATGGTCTTGGGCAGGGCGTCGCTGGCGAAGCCGATGCGCAGGTTCTGGCTGCCGGGGTGGATGACGACGATGCGCGATGGATCAGTGGCGCCCGAGGGAGTCGCAACGCCGTCTTCGTCGTCGGCCAGGTTGGAAATGGGGAGCGGAACCTCGCCATTAGCGGGCTTCGACAGATATCGATCGCGGTCGCGCGCACTCTGGACGAGCTTGTCGCGGGTGGCATCGTTTTGGAGTCGTAATGCGAGAACCTGGTCATCTCGCTTCATGTAATCTCTGCAAGGCCATTAGCTCATGGGTGTTATTATTTGCGCTGGTGTTCATACGTATAGTAGTTTTTTTGGTTGATGGGCGTCACATCCGGCCAGGTGGTCAGCTTCATGCCATTGTCGGTTCGTTCAAGGCCTAGAGCCGAGTCAGCAATCGAGTCGCCGCCAGATGCGCGTAAGGCATTACGTACCCTCCCGTAGGAGGACTCTCTCCGACACCTTTCCAACCATGTTGGAAGACGCAGCGCACGCGGATTGTGTGATGCGATAGACGGAGACGCTCAGAGTTTGCTATTCAACTCGAGCCTTGCGCGATGCTCACCATGGTCCTTGACAGCGACCAAAAGGGATTAGCGCTGCGGCTTCTGGAATTTTGTTGATCCGCACCGGCAGTAGTGCACCGGTACTTAGTGCTCCGCGGGTCAATACTACGCTCGACCTGCATGTTAAGTAATGCCGGAACACTGCAGGAGGATTTCACTTCCTATTTGGTATTTGGGTGGTCGTTTGATGACACCAACGTTCTGGATCGCTTCCTCATCTTTTCTTTGTGCTAGATAGTACGCGATACCACACCATGGATGGCTATGTAAACTGCGGGGTTTCGAGGCCAATTAGACATGCTGATATACGGAACCTATTACTGGACGATCCCTTGCCACTGGGCTTCGCGCTAACTTGTTGAGGGGAATGCCAGTTGGCATCACTGGGCTTTTCTTTCTTTGTTTGCCCAGCGGAACTCAGGTAGTTAGTTACTTTGAGACACTGCTCATCCGTCTTCAGGATGCCCCCTAATCGTAATGCGGGGTTTCTATTCTGCATCTCACTTTGAGTCTTGAAGCCGTACGCGACAGAATGATATCTTTCTCAGATCTCAGTGCGCCGCAAGGCTGGATTCTCTATTCCGTTCTCACGGTGTCTGGGCTTCTGGTCTACGCCGCTGTCTGCTCAGTATTCAGATTTCGGCGAATTGGAAAGACGCGGGCGCAATATGGTTTTCATGATCGCGCCTCTCTGGGCCATATGACGAATGAGCAGGCACACCGCATTGTCAAACAGCTAGCCTCTCTCGAGGCCCCTACCTTCTATGATTTGGCGCTTCGCATGGCACTTTTTAGGGTGTGTTCCCATAGTCCAAGACTCTCATCATGGGTCTAGGGGCACTTGCTCATTCAGATCTAGACATATGCCATCGAGGACATAGCCAAACTCTTGGTAGCGAGTAGTGATTTGAACCGCCAGCAGCACGCACCAAAACGGCATGTCACCGCCAATCTCATCATCTTCACTCGCTTATGCTCATCGTCATATCTAGTTATGAAGATACCGGTGCTATATTCGCCAGGTAAGAATACAACACTCAAGTCTAACTAAGCGCTGCTAGCCTAAACCAATTAGCTTCATCAAGTTTGCGCCCAACTCTGAATATCTGCACAAGGCCGTGGCTCGGATGAACTATCTCCACAGCCCCTACCAGAAGAATGACAGAATCACCAATCGCGATCTCCTCTACGTATTGTGGGCGTCCATGTCCGAGCCCGTACGCTTCATGCGGCTGTACGAGTGGCGCGCGCTGACCGACATGGAGGTGGCGGCACTCGGCACTCTATGGAAGTACATTGGCGACATGATGCAGATTGACTACAAAGCCGAGCTTGGCCAGGACCAATGGCGGGATGGCATCGACTTTATCGACCAAGTCACGGAGTGGGCGTATCGATATGAGGATGTGGCGATGAAGCGCCTACCCGATATGCAGAAGCTAGGCGACGTGCTTCTTGATCTTCTCTTGACTTCGTATCCAGCAGCAGTGCGACCGATGGCGTACCAAGGCGTCCTAGTTCTCATGGGAGGCAGACTACGCCATGCGTTTAGGTATAGTGGCAACAGCAGCGTGGTGCCTCGATGACAGCAATGCCCGGCTAACATGATGCAGCCTTCCGGAACCAAGCGTCTTTTACAGTGCTCTCGTTTATAGCCTCCTGTTCATTCGAAAGTTTGTTGTCCGCTACCTCATGCTCCCGCGCGTCTTCGGGGTCGAGTACATGTCCGAACCGGATCCCCAGAGCGGCCGCCTGCACAATCAGCACTACCTCAAGGAGCCCTGGTACACGCGCGTCTCGCTCTGGACGCGCTGGGGACCCGAGGCGCTGTTGGTGCGGGCCACGGGTGGTCAGATTCCGGGTGATGGTGGTCAGGAGATGCTACCGGAAGGGTTTCTTTTCACAGACTTGGGGCCGCGGCCCAAGATGGGCAAGGGTATCGAGGACACGCAGCGCTGGGAGCAGGTGGTCAAGACAACGGTATCGCCGTCTGCCTGTCCGTTTGGGATGAAGTAGTGACGCGTGTCCTGGATTTTCTTTTCTTTGTGCAATTTGTCTGCTTGCTGTACTTTCATCGCTGTGCCCTGTTTTGACACAACAATGTCGGTCTAGCCGGCTACTTTGTGGCTGGCTTGCTTTTCCACTTCCCCCCCCCCCACACTGTCAGTAATGACGTATGCTGCTATATTGCCTTGCTACTCGAGTATTTGCCAATTACTCGCTCATTTGTATCATTCAATGCAAGTAGTTTCAATTAGTCGCGTACACATCTTTTTTACTTGTCATTGTTTGGACTTTAGGCGTAGATACGAAATGCTCTGCCGATTCCCCGCCACCAGCTACCATCAGGCAGCGAATTTTAAGTTCCAGCAATCACCTGACGTAATGACTTGCCACGCTGCAACAACACCCAAATCAACAGCTTGATGTCTCATTTTCAATATTACCCAAGGTCCTCACAACAAAGCTGGCTTTTCATTACTTTTTTTGGGTCAATCACCACCGACCGTCCGACGACCGGACTATTCGTCCTCGAGTCCTTTACCGGAGATAGCGTAGGGAAAACACGCCACTTATATACACCACCCCCTACTATCCTCGAAGCTCGGTCCGACATTGAACAACCAGCCATTTTCAGTTGCAGCTTTTGCAAAAAAGTCGAAACCATGGCACCGGTCCAGACATTCAGCTCTAGCCCCATCGTCGCGGCCAAGGCTCCCACGGCGACGTCGCATTCGCCCACCGCGAGCAAGACTGCGCCAGCCACGGCTACCGCGGCCCCGTCCTCCTCCGCCTCCTCCTACTCGCCAAGCCACGGACAAATTCCGCCGGCGCAACCTGGAGCCAGGCCCTCGATCCCCGCGGCGACCTCATCCGCCTCGTTATCCCCTCGGGGCGCGACCGGACATGCCGCGGCCATGCTTCCCACGCCCACCCAGCCGCTTCCCAGCGACAACTACAGCCCTCCCGCGCCACAACCCGGCGCTGCGCCCATGCCCCCAGGCGCTGCTGCTGCTTCGACATCGAGCACGCTGCCTCCGCCTCCCAAGAGTGGCGAGACGCTCGGTCGCGAGCACACTGGCGCTGCCGCCCAGCTTCCCAGGGCGCTGCCCGCACAGCTGTCCTACCCCCCGCCCACGGCGTCGCACACATCTCTCCGAGGCACCTCTGCCACGATACCGTCGCCGTATGAAGTGGGCGGCGGCGGCGGCCCCATGCAGCTCCCCGGCATCGCTGGCGCTGGCGGCGGCGGCATCAACCTTGCGACGGACCTGTCGCACCCGCCGGGCTACCAGCAAGACGCGCAGGCGGCCGAGTTCTCCAGCGGCCAGCGTGCGGCGCACGAGGCGTACGTGGCGCAGCATAGTAACAGGCTCACGAGCGGCCTGGGGATGGGGCTGGGAGCGGGGGAGGGAGGAGGAGGAGGAGGAGGAGGAGCGGGCGACGCAGAGGGCAGCACCATTTGGAACACGGCCAAGAAGTGGGCTTCAGCCGCCGGGGACACCCTGGCAGCGGCGGAAGGTGAGGTCTGGAAAGCCGTGAACAAGGATCACAAGTAGAAACCAGGACATCTCTGGGAGTATTAGAGTTTTACCTCTTGGACAAGTTTATCGATAACTTCTAAAGTAGAATAACTAGGATATTAGGCAACCTTTGAACACAAAAACCAAAAAAAAAAAAAAAAAAAAAAAAAGTGGATGGATGCACGTTATGATTGCGCAAAACGTTCTTCTGTCTTGAGTAAATTACTTTGGTCACGGTTGCTGCTCCGCGCTGGTGCTTCCCCCATTGCTGTAAGCCTTTTAACCGAGGACAGCTGCAGGTCCCTGATCGATCTCGCCCCGGGCGTCGCTCGTCACAGGGGTCTCGGGCATCCACCGTGCACAAAACAAGATGGGCCGCAACTCCCTCAATTTCTCGTTCTCATTTTCTCATCACCCGGCGGACATTGCCCGAGTTGTGCCGTCTTGTTTTTTTTTCTCTCTTTTTGTTCCCTCCCAAAAATGTGTCCTGAGCAAGGAACAAACATCTTCATCCGGGGAGAGACGGAAGACGGAGACGGGACATGGGTAAAGGTGGTTACATCCGGGGATGCCAATCTGGTTTCATGAAGCAGCCAACACCCTCGAATAAGAGAGAGTCAACCACTGGCTTGAGCATCTGATGGTGAAGCATTCATCTCTATCATGTGCATAATACACAGATGCATAAACAGGAGATGGGATTACGGCCCGGCATCGACGGCATAGGGAGCCTAGCGAGTTGCTGCACTCTTCATCGCATTAACAATGACAGCGTAGTTTGCACGTGAAATTTACCACAATTACTTGCCAACTGCCAAATATTCAAGCTTTTTGAGAGATTCTCAAAAGTGACTACAAAAGTCTCAACTACATGTGAGAGATTCTCCCGAGGCTCATGTCGGCAGTCTCTAGCGAGCAGACGGCCCAAGCCGTGGCTCAGACGATGGAGTATGTCTCGGAAACGTACTCCTGCCAATCTAAGAAAGCACATAGAGTTTCTAGGCACACCATTACGCTTATAAAGTTGTCACAATTTCTAAAATCTGCGATCGGCGTAATCCGATGAGAAAGCTGCTGTATTTGAGGCAAGACTCTTTGCGGTGCTTTGATTTTCTCGCGCGCCCTCAAAAACGCGGGCGTCCGAGGAGACATGTGATATGCATGCGTGTAGACACTGATCAATTTTTGTTAGTCCTGATTTATTAGCCACAGCTCTCAAGAATGGTACGACTTGTGAGGTGGTGCTCGTGGTTCTCGCTCGGCGTATCATGCACTATTGCGGCATAAACTAGATGATCAGTCCATCTTCGCGATCGACTTCGGCTCTGATAGATGATCATCCCATAAATTTGCAGACAGCTTGCATAAAAAGGACGATGCTGCAACTTGCGTGCGCGCATATGCTTATGTGCTAAAGCTCTTCATGCGAGATAAATTATACTTGTATAGCGCCGCACCAATAAAGTACATACATGGAGAAACTGTGGGCATGATTTGCCAAGTACACGCCTTCAGTCATCAAGATGGTCAGTAAAGCTTTTGCGCTGTGTCTGTCGCATTGTATTAGCGTACGCCTTTTGCGCATGACGCACAAACGTTTCTGAGCGCTGTTACAGATCTGCGACAACAACCTGGGCTATGTGTGGAGCGCCCTGCCGCTTCGGCTGATGCGATTGACTTGCACCCTGATCTCATGATTTTTCCAAGTTTGGACATGGCTGGAATATATTAGCGGTTCTTTTGTTTAGGCTTTCGGTGCATCCGGGGGTGACTGGTCGCGAGCTTCTCAATCAGGCCTTCATGATAACTAGCGAGTTGGCTGGTTTGGCTGTGCTGTGGTTGATGGCAGCTGGCGGGGTGGTTACAGCAGAAACCGTTTGACTACTTCGTAGCGTCTTGACGCTTATTGATCTAGAAGCATAAAACTTCCTCTCTTGGCAGAACCAACTTTTTGGATGCGTTACTACTGTTGGTGCGTGTCCATGTCACACGCTACGAAAGGTTAGTTCTTGTCGTCATGTTTAGAGTTTCCAAATCCAACGGCTGTATGAACAATGGCAGCACTATGGAGACAGGTACCAACAGAGCTCGCATGCACGGCCCAAAGTCGAGCGCCACGGACATCGAGCGGGGACTTGTGGGCTTTAGAACAAGGAACCTGGTACTTATTTTTCCAGCGTTGTTACCCAATAGAATGAGCCATTGATGAGCAGGTAGCCACTGATGACTAGAAAGAAGCCATGACCTGCGGATCGCGAGTTAAACGAAGGCACATGCGAAGCCATTCGTGGCTGGACGGGGCGGTCGCATCAATGTACCGTTAGATGAGGATTGGCAAGATCGGGATCGTGAGAGTCTGACTTTCCCATGTTGATCGAAGAAAGATGCTGGCTTTTTGCCATTTCGGGAATTTCGCAATTTGCTTGTCGCGTAATCCTGCGCATGCTTAACGCAGCCGCGCGACGTGCTCCCCCGGCAAGTCCTTCCATAACTTTCTGTCCTTCAAAGCATCCTTTTCTTGGGTACTTGTCCGCGTCAGGATCGAGTCACTCAGCTTATCGATTCGTTTTGGAGTTTTGCTCAAGTAAGGGCCAAAACCTCCCGCCCGATGAGTTGCAATTGCCAAGCTCGCTGAATGTACAAGTAAGAAGCCAAGCTGCTCGGTGGGGTTGCAGCGTTCGGGGGCCGATCAAACGGTATTACCGATATTGCCTAAAATGGAAGTGGATTGAGCGGCCTTTGAATTCGATTGCCGGCGGCAATACTCGCTGTCCGCCATTACGGTTACCATTAATCCGTATACACTGGCAAGAAGATAAGTTTTGCTGCCCCACCCTCTCTCAAAATAATCTTTCTGTCCTGGCTTGCTCAACTGTCCCTGTTCTGGATGAAAGTAGCCAATATTTGGATGGATGGGAAACAATGGCGGCGCGGCTCCAAACCTTATTGAGTACAGTCGGGAGGCGTATGCCTCGATTGAGGCACAAGGCTTTCCAGAGACTTGCACCACTTGCGCGACTAACCAACTTCTTGGCTCTTTGAGCCACTCCAGCTGTAAACAAGGTTCAGCCGTGAAAAGGCGGGGGCCGAGTATGAAAGGTCGGATTCCTCGCCAGATGCATAGCGTCCGCATGATCGTCCGCTTCCTGCCAATGTATGGCAATTATATAGTAAGCCATTTCGTTGGGATGACCGAAATCGTAAGTGCTTTGTCGAGGCCTTGCTCTACCCGTCACCGCTGATTTCTCCGTCACAGCTGAGAAAGCGGACGCCGACCGTAATTTATTTAGCTAGCAACCGAAGGCTGAGAGTCTGACGACAATAGCATTTGGCCATTCTGCTGCCCGATCCTGGTCAGCAAGGGAGCACGAGAATACCAAGACGTTGGCTAGCGTGCCAATGTCAGTAGCTTCCAATTCACAGTAGAATAATTAAGCCAGATCGCTTGTGCTGCGGAGTTTGTGACTTGCGGGATGCCGCTGTTCACTTGGGCCTTTGGCCGACCCGGAGGCTGAAGCAAACCTTAATTGAAGCGTGGAGCTGAGCGGCTGGATATGCACAACATAGAGTATGCCATAAAGTAACCAAAGTCCGATCGGATAATTCGGGACCGCGTGCGTTGATATCTGCGCATGAAGCTGTGCCTTCACTTGTTGGGGCTTGGATGCTGTGATTGGAGGGTGTCAGGTAGACATGCGCAGCGGTCTCAAGTTATTGCATGAATACCTCCGCAATTCGCTAGTGAATCTAGCGAGATCCGACGAGTATCGCGATTGCTGGCCTAACGTCGCCGCTGATTGCTGTGGTAGCGTCACCAGGCTGGTAGATTGTCGGCTCTCTGCTCATTTCCTCGGGCGGTTCGGAGCTAGCAAGCAGCCGCAGACAAATTGAAGCATAACCTGGTGGGCAGAGGCAAAAGCCGGCAGGTAATGAATGGAGTTGGTGGACCAGGAGGGTACCGCCCGACGGCAATTTCTTTGACTTTGGCGGTGCAGAGACTAGTGCATTGGGGTGAACAATCAAATACTGCTCAATTATGTGCGCCAGCCTGAGCGTTTGCTGATACATAAGCGCAAAGCTCATTCTCACTGGTAAATGCAGTGGATAGTGACAATGGGCAATGGTAACCCTCCAGCTAATTCTGGCGAGTATCAAAATACAAGTGCTGTAACCAATGCGGATACCGCTGCATTAGGCTGATAGGCGATACGCTCGATGTTGACACAGAGGATTTCGTAGGGCGTGCTTCAGGGAGGCATTGGTATCGTGGTAAGCCTACGCTGGCAACGTATAATTTGGCCGATTTGAGCCATGTTGTGCGCAGACCTGCGGAAGGACCACATAGTTGCGGCTTGGTGGAATCGAGGCGGTATACCGCATACGTACAGGTACACTTACTTCGATCTTGTGCAGCTGCATGCGGGACAGCGCGAGTGCGATTTTGTCCTTGTTCTTGAGCTAGGCGAGAGGATACCCGGGACCGTTGATCGAGTACACAAGGCTGAAAATGCAAGATACATGCGATGCAGGCAGGGCAGGGCTCTGGATCGAGGCCGAGGATCATTGATGCAGGTGCGCAGGGGTAGCGTGCGGCCGTGGTGGAGGACTGGACCATGGCGTCAGTGGCAGGCTGGCAGCGTTGTGGGCGGGCAAGCGGGATCACGATGAGAGTTGCCGAGTGTCGTTGAATGAGGCTCTGCCTTGTCGTTGTTGTTGTTATTGGTCATGAAGCAGACGAACGCAAGGGGGCTTGGTGGTTCGTCGGTTTGCAAAATGCAAAACGTTAGGTGCGGGCGATGGCAACCTTATTGGAGTATTGTGAATAGTGCTTTGTCGCAGCAGGGAGACGGGCAGGCCGGTCGGAGCAGGGCCATCCATCAGATATCACGAACGGGTGTTCACATCCGATTCGGATAGGACAAGAGCCGGCGTCGTGGCTGGGCCCTTTGGTGTGGCATGTGCCGATACGGAGGGACCAAGGCCTGATGGATGGAGATATATGTCAAGGGATGCATCGACAGCTGGGCGGGAGATGTTTAGGACGGGCTAGTAAAGAAGTGATATAGGTGGAAAGAGAGAAATGAGTACAAAATGAAGAATGTTGGTGAAGTAAGTGTCTGGCGACTGTCTCTGGTAGAATTCAAGAGCGTTTCAGCGAAGATGAAGCGAGACGGGCGGAACTGGCGATGGAGGCGGCAACTTGTTTGACAATGGTTTGGGCTGCCCGCCAGCTGGCAGAAGCTGTCCGTTTGCAGACTGACGTTAGCTGCCAGCTGTCACAGGCATGTTTAGCTGGCAGCAACAATTTGTCGTCAGGCAGATTGAGCAAACGGGCGCAAATAACACCTGGAAAACGCACCTGGACACCAGGAATCGGGAAGCGGTACCTGGCTGATCAAGCGAGGGAAAATCATTAGTGAGCATATGCCGACAGAACTACCTTATTAGGCACCCGCCAGCCCACTACCTTACCTATAGTCGATTAACCTGCTGTAATCTATTACATGGCACTGAAAATGACCTTGGTAACGCAGGCACCCCATTATTCATGATGACGCACTCCCTCTTCCTACTCATTCTAACCAACGCTCTGTCATTCAATACCATCTCTTATACTAGTCAACTCGATGCAACCCGTTGAACTTTGATGCAACTCGATACAAGTCACTGCAACCTGCCCGGACGCGGTCAGATGGCGGCTTACAGTGGCCTTGCAGCTAGAATAGACCGCTAATCTGCCAATAACTCGCCTTGGGCGGGGCGGCGCGCGGGTTCCGGCCTGGCCTCAGCAAATGGCAGCAACCACATAGAGGCCTAGCGGTCTGTCTGTTCGCAACCCTTAACTAGAAATTCTGCCGATAACCGCACCAGTTAGATTGATATCTATTACGTGCCCCCTTGCAACTTTGTATTCGTGGCTCACCGCCCAATCGGGTATTATCGATGAGCAATGTTGTTATCAGTCCATCCGCGTGTCCCCTCCCCAAGGCCTTTCTATGTAGTTGACCACCCAGTCATATACAACCGGCCAAGAGGGCACTAAAGAGGGCGTTGCAAAGTCGATGATAATACGCGGGCGCAGAATCATAATAGCTCGCGTAACATTATACCCTTGTTTTATAATAAAACGCGGAATCTCGCGACCTCGCGAGGCAAGGCACTGAAACGGGCCGCTCGCCTCCCCGAAAAGCCGGCGGAATAAACTTTTGATGAGCCAAACTCGCCGAGTCCGAGTTTCCAAATCATGACAAGTCCACTTGATCAATATACGCTACAAATTTTCTCTGGGAGAGAAAAAAAATTGAAATGAATAAGACAAATAATAATAATAATAATAAAAGAAAGACCGCAAATGCTGGTAGCACACGAAACCACACCAGGTAGGTACACGTACGTAGTCGGAAACCTCCCGCAACAGCCCACAACCATAACTAACCTCGCTGCCCAGCCCTGCCCGAGCTCTCTACCCTGTCTCTCACGACAGGTTGCTGATTCGTTCTTGCCATTTTCGTATTTTGAATTCTGCCGGCCTCTTCCTACTGGTTGTCAGTTGATGCCCACTTGAGCCACAACCCGCTTTTTTTTAACAACTTGAAACTCGAGAAACACGCCCCCCGACAACTCCTTGGAACTCTGGGCTCACGCATCGGTCGAGAAGAAAAAAAAATGACCCCCCCCAACATCTGTTTAGATTTGAATTCAAGACTGGAAAAAAAAAAAAACACCTGGTTAGGCCTGGCTCCCTCAGCCGTACAGGGCCCAACTGGGCTCGCGCTGGCCCGAGTTATTCGCGTTGTCTGTGCCTGCACAACATCTAGAGGCTTAAAGAGACCCCGTGCACAGGGCAGTTTCTGCCAGATAATTGCCTGGTTAGGTTGATTAGTGGCTAGGTATTAGCGAAAAGCCATCTCTCCTACCGAGACACGGCATCGCCAGCAAAAGCTTCACCCAAAAAAAAAAACGTGTCGATCAAACTGCGGCCCTTTGATTTTTTATTTTTATTCTTGATTTTATTTTTATATTATTTTTTGCTACTCGGATTGCTCTGACAAAGTCGTACAAGTTACGCGATTAGTCTTCTCTGACCCAATCTGGAGTCAGCCTCCCCCAACGCTCGTTATTTCCAGTAATCCTCAACTTACACGCACGCCCCCTTTGCGACACGGCACGCCCGTATATGTATGGGTCCTCTGGGGCTCCTCCTCCAACACACACACGCACACACATGTGTGCCTGTTCCAGCTTAATAAACGAGAACAACGAACAACGCGCCAGATGTTAGTCGCAGCGAAAAGAGGAAAACCCACTCTAAAAAGGCCCGCTGTAGATGCCCTATTCGTGTATGGTAATCGTGGGGGCCCTTTGTTCTTCGGGGCGTGGCAAAGAGAGGAGAAGGAGGGGGGGGGCGTTGTCGTGCGCGCAACAATTGGCCCCGAAAATATGCACACGGCAGGTCTGGTATACTACCCCTTGAACTCTCTTTTGAGCTGGCCACCTTGGTCTTTGCTGGTGTCGTGTCGTGCGTGGTCCTTGTTGCTCGACTCCAGTCTCCAGTCTGGGATCTGATGTGGGCGGGAAAATGCCCAGACTTTCTCATAGTTGTCCATCGCCCACCATGGAGGGCCATCTGCGTGGTCCGGATCTACCAGTACCGCTTCGTTGCAAAACCAACTAGCCAGACTCTCTGTGCCTGGGTGACCAGCCCATTGTTCTTTTTTTACCCTTTCCCTGCACCCGTGTAGCCGTGCTCAGAGTTGTTCCTCTTTCCCACACATATACAAATCCTTCAGCCGAATTTCTGACACTTTTCTTACCCTCTCTTTTTTTAGAGCCCTCTATTCCTCTGTTGCCGGCTTCCTGTTGCACTGACCAGAAACTTAATAATACCCCATTCCCCCAGAGCCGGCTCTCTATCCCAGGTTGTTCCATTATTCATACACACACATACAAACTCGAGCTTATTGTTTCGAAAACAATAACTGCTCTTGTTATATCATCCACTTTACTTTCCTTCCGTTCCATATCTGCCCCGGGGCGTTTTCCTTCGTCTTCTTACATACAGCGGCGCGGCCTCTTCATTACAAGTCACACAGCATCGTGTTGTACAAAAGCCACTACAGCTTACAAAAAACGGCAGCAGCATTCCTATTTGACAAAGATATACTCGTCTACAAGCAACATTGGCTTGCAGTGTCGGAAGCGCGCCATTCTCATCGGGCTTTTTCGCCGACCACTTCACGTCCTGGGCGTCTCCCAGCCATTCCTCGTCGCCTTTGGAGCATTTCAAACTATTGATTCTCGCCATTTTTTTCTTCCTTGACTGATTATACTTTGATGTACGCAACATCGTCAGCAATGGATCAACCCGGTGATCATGTGTCGCCAGCGACGCCGCCTACCGCTCTGGATGCCCAACAGGCCAACATTTCGACCTCGGCGGATCTTCAGCCACCTATGAATGCCTGGATGCCACAACCAGGCCTAAACTTGCAGGAAAACACGTCTAGTGTTCCATCACAAACTCCCTGCTGCTCTGGAGAGCAGGAGCATCCTGCTACTACCGGCTGGGATCACTCTTATACGCCAAGATCGACCTTGCCTGGCAAATCTGGTCTCGTGTATCCCGGGCAATTACCGCAAACACTAGTCAAAGACGGTAGGGCTGCAGAGACTTGTTGTAATTCTTCAAATTCAGTGCCTAATACCACTCTAGGGAGCTGGGGCCAAAAATCCTATGATCAGTTCGAATTTTATCCGTTTGACCCCGATGCCCCCATCGGCCAAGCTTACACCACCGACGAAAGCGTTCCCATTATTGACCTACGATTCTCGCAACCACGTCAAGAGCTAGCACCTTCATACTCTGATCCCACAGCAAATCGCCGCTCCGACTCTTCCATCGGCGTGTCCAATTCTGCTGGCTTCTCTGACATGCCGCCTACCTGCAGCAGCGACGACGTCTCGACTACGCTCTCGGAAGCGCCCACCTTCTCGGACTACGGCACCCTGTCCAACAGAACGTCTCTCATGTCGTCGGCGCACTTGTCTCCCGTCGCCTCGCCTCGGCTTACGCCTCAGAACCGGCCAGACCAAGTGCGAGCGCAGAGCCGCGGCCGCGCCTCGCCATCTCCTCGGCCCAGCATGCGCTCTGCGCCGTACAACGCAGACGGCATCCGCAACAACACTAGATGGTCTACTGGCTCTCACAATGTCGCGCAAAACCGTCGTCAATCACCATTTGGGTATGGGGCCATGCCGGAACCGACTATGCCCTCGCAACGATACTCGATGCAGGCGCCGACTTCGTCTTCCATGGCGCCAGGAATGCCTCACAACATGGTTTCGACACCTGGGAGCAATATGCCAATGCAGCCATCTTATGTTCCGTCCATGCCCATGGGCGGCTATAGAAACAACAACAACAACAACAGCAACAGCAACAACATCATGATGCCGCCGCATATGAGTCATCCGCTACCGACTTCGCACAGCATGCATCACGATAACAGTCACCACAGCCTACCGCAGCCTCCGACGTTGGCATCGCACGGCCTCCTCAAGCTGCTACAAAACAACATTGAATCGCAATCCTTTCACGGTCACTACGCAGATCTCTCGGCGCCGCCAGACTTGTACCCAGCCCTCCACGAAGAGCCAGCGCCGCCACCCCCGGAGGATATGAACCCGTCAGACCCGGACCTGGCCCCCTATGAGCAGGAGCTTCGCTTTGACGGCGACATGTACACGCCAAAGTGGGTGCGCGGTCACGGCAACAAGCGCGAGGGCTGGTGCGGCATCTGCAAGCCGGGCCGCTGGCTGGTTCTCAAGAACTCGGCCTACTGGTACGACAAGTCGTTTACGCACGGCATCAGCGCCGCCACGGGCGCGCCCTTTCAGGAGCCGCTGGACAAGAGACGGATGGACGGCAACCCGGATGTTTGGGAAGGTCTGTGTGGCAGTTGCAACAAATGGATTGCGCTGGTGAGCAGCAAGAAGAAGGGAACGACGTGGTTCCGTCACGCATACAAGGTAGGCTCTCTCATGACATTGCACACAAAGAGCAAAGACTTCTCTTGTCCAGAAACCCCCGCTGACTGTACATCTTCTGCAGTGTCACTCTCACGCCAAAATTAAAGACACTCCTAAGCGGAGGAGAGACCAGGGTCACACCCCACGCATGCCCGGCCCTCCTCTATCGTCGATGGCCCTTGGAGGTTTGCACGATCAGCAGCAGCGTCCAGGCACGCCGCCGCCAACGCTGCCTCACGGTCTCCCAGCCGCGTCGTACGCGTCCATGGGCGGCGGCGGCGGTATCAACACGTCGATACCGCAGTACATGCACCCACAGCAGCACCAGCAGCATCAACAACACCAGCAGCAGCATCCACACCACCACCACCACCACCAGGCTCTGGGCCCATTGACACCACCCCAGTCTTTGAGATCCAGCGTCGGTCGTACGCTGTTATCAAGCCCCGCTACAATGTATGGTAATGTCATATAGGGCAAACGTGCTTTGGTACGTGTTCCAAAGTCTGTCTTGAATCATGACTTGTCCAGCATATGGATACAGCCTTGGGGGGCCCCGGTGGCGCAGCGCTCTGCCGCCGGGTTTGGTTGATTGGATGCCTCTTTTCTCCCCTCTTCCCTCTTCTCCACGATCATTTGCCGAATAGTCTTTTGATCTTTTGAAAAACTTTTTTAGTGTCGTTTTATTTTCTTGTTTTGCCAGTTCTTTTTGTTTTGTTTTGCATGGGGGTCAAATCTCTTTTGTTACTTAGACTTGGGGGGTGGAAGGGGGGGTTATCACGACGGGGAACATTGGAAACCACAGGGCTTATAGACGCTACGCCTTATCATGAGACATGTACAACGTATGGGGTCGGCAGCGTCGAGTCATCACGAAATCAGTTTGAATTGTTATTCTTTTTTCTTTTTTTTTCTTTTTTTGGCTTTTCTTTTCTTGTTACTCTTTTTCCAGAAATGATATCACTAGCACAGCGAAATAAAAACAGCCCCATGATGATGATGACCAAATCGAAAGAATTAGACAAAAATGAATAAGCATCGCACTAGCAAAGGCAGCACCCATCGCATTTCACGACGGGGGCATGACAAGTATGCGCCGTGACATCCGTGATCCGCGGTCCTTCCGATCCAGGCTCAAATATCAGGCGGTCCGCAAATAAGAAGGAAAATAGAAGGAGCAGCAAGGCAGAGAGAGCGCGAGAGTCAGAGAGCCAGAGAGAGTCAGAGAGAGCAAGTTGATTTCCAAAACTCTTCTGCGTCCATCTCCATTAAGGACCGGGGCTGGGGTTGTATAGGGTGGATTTTCGTCAGGCCCCATTGATGCCTGGCCCCGTCGACCGGCACTTTGGGAGCTTTTGGGTCAGCTCTTGATAACGAGGCCAAGATTTATAATGCGCCTTTGTGGGTTAACAAAGATGGAGATTTCAGGCGGCACAGAGGTCCCGGGAGGGGGGAGGGAATTGGTGCTTGTTGGGGTGGCGTCATGTAAGTTGCCCGTCGCCGCCCGCAAGCACGGCGAATAGTGAAGCCAGTCAACGACAAGCAAGCACAGGCGTCTTGTCGTGGCTGCCTGAATACATGCATCCCAATTTAATAGTGGAAACATTTATTTCGCACATCAACATTCAACGGTTGTGGCGTTTTTTTTTTTTTTCTTACCTTGGTATGGCATAAGGGTTGCGTCTGTGCTTGGCGGCATGAAGAGACGACCCAGAGACGAGCAGAATCAATCCGGGGGCGACGAGATTGGAGAGCGAGATCGAAACGGAGATGGCAATGTATGCATGGAAAATCATAGCGGAACCAACGCGCCGCATATTGCGATTGGCCTTGTCTACCTACGTGTTGTCAATCTCGTGTATTGGTTGGGCTGCAGTTGCCATATTTGAGGCTTCACATGAAGCAGCAGATCAAACTATAGAATATCGAATGCTGATTTACGATCACGTATTATGCTTTTTTCCCCCTCTTTTTTTCATTTTTATCCCAAATTTTTCTATTAAACTTTTCTAAATTTTCTCTTTAGCCTATTCTTCTGTTATTAATGATAGATTAAATGATGGCGTAAACGAGAAAGCGAGATCGGAAATGATGAGTCGTCTAACTGCGGAAGCATTTCCGAAATTGGCCGCCGTTGTCTTTGTCGCAGGAATTCGCAAGTCATTTATGCCGAGAGCCAGGCAAAACACACGCTTTCTGGGCCGTTGTTTCTACATGAGTCGACGGACATTACCGAGGCTTCTTCATCCTCAGGTCACCCCCGACCCGAACAGGAAAAGAAAAAGAAAGCTGAGGCATGAGTCCTTTTTACCCTTTCCAACGCACTCACACCCTCACACCCCTTCCCATGGTGCGACGTTGGTGAACCTACTCCACAGCCACGTTACAGAAGGCTCCAGGGTGTTGAACTTGCAAAGTCGCAGCCAAAAGTCTCTTTTTCATCGGTCTCCTTTCTGACTGGTCAACTCGAGATTATCCAATCTCTTCTAAAGAGCGCAGACCAGCCCTTGTTCCTTTAAATGACCAGCGACTTCGGATGTCGCCGCCGGTACATGCCACGCTTGAAGTCGTGTGGTGTTGATTTCGGCGGGGAACCGACCGGGGGGGGCCAAACCAGCCCTGTGGCCCCCGATTGACTCGCATCTACGACTAAAAGAAATGATAAGAGAAAAAGATGAGAAAAAGAATAAGAAGAGGGCCCTCTTTTATTTTATTTTATTTTATTTTATTTTGTTTTTTTATTATCATTTTTATTCGTGGGCAAAAAGAGATCGGCAGTATCGGGGGGACGAGAATGCATTCGTCCCGATTCTCTGTGCGTGCATGGATCCAAAGCTCACGATTCTGCCCAACTTTTACCAATGACGACTCAGTCTTTTTCTCGCTAACAGCCCAGTAGGCATCGGACTTTCGCGGAACTTGTCATGCATGAAGCCTTTTTGCCCCTCCTGCCCCCGCCGCTTCCTCTTGGCGTCCATCCAGTCTAGGCAAAAATGGCGAGCAGATTTTCTAGAAGATGACGCGCGCAGAACAGGTCGGGTTAAATCATGAATGATTAGACAAGACCATTTTTTACAAAATTACTTAGGCGGAGAAGGGGTTCAAAGACCAGGACAATGCCCAAACATTTAACCCTACCCTGCCTGGCCGTAGGACCCACGAGACATGGCGGAGACCATTGTTAGACCCGACAAGGTTAACTTTAAACTTTCGCTCGCTTTCCACTTGAGCTCTTTTTATCTATTTTACGTGTGCCGCCCTATCCATTTAGCCATCTTGTTCGTTGAGGCCTTTTCTCCAGTGTCATGGTGAAAGAAAAAGAAATTGTGGCCTTTGTGTGTTGAAACACGGCTCGCAATTGCGCTTGCTATCAGTGCTCTTGCAGCACGGCCTCCACTTACCAAAGTCCCCCGGAGGGAAGCAAACCTTATTTTCACATATGGCCATGATCGCCTCATTATTCTCGCTCGTCAATCGCCGTGGCTTATGTTCCTGCGGACACGAGGCTTGTTGCTCAGGGCGGGCCATCTTGAATCGAGGAAACGTGGCGCGACTGAGTCTGGCTATAATTAGAGGCGTCAAACGAATGATCTTCGAATTATTGGGTGGTGGTGTCGGATGACAAGGCGTGCGTTGAAGGAAACGACAATGCAGACGTTTTGCGCCTGGCTGAAACATGGCGTGGCATATAGATGAGCTGTTCATGTTAAGCGAGGAAAGCCGTTGCGCTATGTCGTGCATTGTCCGAGCTACAATGTCGTTTAAGCAGATATTGGACGACTTGATGAAGAGCCTATTCTGGAAACTGCGTCTGTGTCTATTTGTCCATGCACTCGCATGTGAAAGTCAACTTATGACCAACAATCGCGCAGTTGTGAAAGCCATACATACATGCACAAAGGAATATCATGTTTTGCCAGCAGGTAAGTTGCATTCCCTCAAAAGTCTCAAAATAGATGTAGCAACGGACGCAAAACTCAGCAGCATATACCTTCAACGTAGTATCTCATCCTTCACTGGTATAGGTAGCAGCGTAGAATCCCAAAAGAAACACCTCCGTTCCTACTTTGAGAGTTGCTGCCATTTGCAAATGTCAATGGGGCTTGGGCTCTGTGTTTTACCTCTGTGAACCAGTCAACTTGAGCTGATGCCTCGCTTACTCTTCGTCACAGACTTTCTGCTTTCCTCTCGTAAAGTCCTGTTGATTCAGTAAAGTCATAAACTAAAGTGTCAAGGAATAGGGTATTACAACCTAAATGATTCGACTGTTTGCGAGTCGCCCTCCGCCGCTGCACGCCTCACACCCCGCGCAATGTCAGCTGCAGGGTACGTCTTACTGCTGAGGCTTCATGAGCCTTCTTAGGTAGATAGATGCCTGACGCTGTAGCTCAATCTCATCTAAACTGTAATGAAAATATTTGAGCTGGCACAAGAGTTTCGCGACATGTATATTGGTAATTCTGACTCTGTGACGGCCAAGCATTGATGTAGTGTGGTGCTCTGCATGACACTTTGAACCAACAGCCAAGTGATGGCAGCAAAGACATGGCAGAATTTCTGGCTACAACATGCTATATTGGAAATGTCAAACTATGCCAATAAGTGGCTTGGTGAGAAGTTCATCAACTAGTCATTCAGGTGAGCCATAAATCCTCAACAAGTTCTCACATCTTACACCCATGATGCGGGCGTTATAACTTGACAAAAATTGAGGGCAAGAAGAGCGTGCAGATTCCATCCTCAAGCGAGAATGTCCACAACGAGATCAAATGTGATCGAGAGACTCAAAAATTGAAAGATGAAAGCATGAAATTGAACCAAAGTAGACGCAGCTGAGTTACAAAGGCTATCCGTGTACAGTACACCCGGTATCATGAAAGCGACCAGCTCACTCGTACGAAACACGCATAAAGTCGCTCATGCATACAAAGCTATCTCGTATATTATTTCGTATATTCAACAAACATGCTGTCTGCCTGTTACTCAAAACTACTTTGAAGCATATTGCATTCAGCCATGAGCCACTGCGTAGCCCCAAAAGTACCATTCTGCCGCGCTTACACACATGCCTTGAAGGGCATACTTGCAGCCAACGAGGGTTGAAGTGCTATAGCTCGAGCTTAAGCGGTAATAGAAGCTCCATATACTGTATGATCTAAAGAAACATGTCCTTCTTCAACTTGCAGATATAACTAGAGTAGCTCCACGGCAATTCGCCGCCCTCGGTCACTGCCTGAGCTGGGCTCAGGTCACGTACATTAACGACGGTCGATTGCTACTTGCTTTGAATTAATTTGCATCACCTTTTTGAATCATTAAGCACATTTGATCCCTATGCAATTATCGCATTCTCATCATGACCACACGAATTGCGGTTGGTCCGCCGCTGTGTCGTGCCATGAAACATGATAGCCTTGCAGGCTTACAGAAAGTGCCGTCAGGTCTGCTATTGTGACTAAGGGCTAGGACCTATCAATTTAGATCTAATGTGTTCTCGATATCATCGATATGGGTGGTGGGCTTCGGGCCGCTCTCTGCTACTTCGTCGCCATGCACACCTTGGATTGCAGCGTCAACCTGCTCGGGGAGGCTTTGCCTATGCTCAAGACGGTATTTTTTGCGAAAAGACCTCTGATGAATGCCCAGATAGAACAAGAGATGTAACTCCGTGCGTCTTTATCAGGTGTGTGTACATAGTCGGCGCATAGCACGATGCTCAGTTGCCCCTCTGGCGTTCCACCGCTGCTTGGGTATCATTACATCGACAACTTTTTCCCTCGAAGCATAGAACAAACCTACCAACAATACTCGTATACCACTTCTAATGGAGTTTTATTGTCGATCAATCGGAGTGTCAGGCTTTTCGCCCTTTTCAGGGTAAGGAGACGCTGCTGTACGACTCATCAGAGCGAAGAGAGATCGCGACAACCGCCGGAGAGCAGTTTCCACATTTCTCATCCCACGAAACCACACAGTGCTCATCTATGCTATTGATACAACGAACAATAGCTCACGGATCTGGATCTGCTCTTTGGTATTACCAAGAACAGAGGAACCGCTGCAGAATGGCAGGCTCCATTGTGAGCGGGTGCAGGCGTCCAGGTCAAGTTGTGTAAATGACAGTAGATAAGAAGGCGAATGGCAAGCTGCAAATCAGATACATCCAGCCGTAATGAGCCGAACGCGGAATTTTTGAAACCTCGCTGCTCTTTCCACCGGGGGACGAGGCCCGCGACGAGAATAGCAGCATAACTATGTAATTTAACCTAGCCAACTAATCAGCCGACAGAACCAAGGAGCTTCCATTTGCTTGTTAGTGGCTTAGAGGCATTTTATTGCCTGCTTCAAGCCGTAATCTTGATTAAGGAGATGACATGGATGGGCAGTGCGTTGCAAATACCGTTCTTGTCGCCTATCCGGAAGCGGAAGCAGGGCACACGACAACAGGCGGTCAGCCGAGCAGCGGCTCAAACAACACACTAGAGCCGCAGAACTTTCCAATGACACTCGACTCTAATCAAAGTTGCGAAATCCGCCATGAAGAAATGACACTCGTGGAAAGGCTGTAGAGGAAATGATATTCGCGCCCAGGATGAGCCCGTGTACGTACTTGGCCAGCGCCTGTCGTAACGCGGCAACACCCGGCGTCGCTCCGTGTGCCACCAAACCAGCGATTATTGCCCGACGGCACGGCTCAGCCGGACCGCAAGGTAGCAGCTTCATTCAGGTGCCCGCCCGATCGGGAAGAGTGATGCAATGCCCCAGCCCGGAGAACTTGCTTCTGGTCTTGTTCGTTTGTTGACAGACGCCAAGTACAATGACGCTTGCCAAAATAAATGGCCATTGGAGCCTGTTTGCCTGTCTTAGGGAAAACGGGTAAGATCTTGGCAAGCGAGGAATGGCTGTTGAGCGAAAGCGGTCTGGACAATGCCAGGGCATTCTTCGGGGTTCCCTCTGTTTGTTAATGATTCATCTCGCTGCTAGCTGTGAGTCAAAACGAAGAACAAGCGCGAGGGCTGGTCAACATAGTCTCGCGGCCTAATAAGGGTAAATTGAAGCGAGATGAGATGGCATTGTCTCGATTGGTGTCTAGCACTTGACTCTGCCGCGATCTCCTAACTAATCGTAGAATAGCGCTTGTGGCGTCGATAGACGACCTTCACCTGATGCAGGGTTTGCTGGTGTTTCCGGCTCAGAAGAGGTTTCTCGGAGTCGAGGTAATATTCATCGCGATACAGCGATTGAAGGTTGGAGGGTAAAGGCAGAGGGTATCACGTTGTAGACGACGAGGGATAATTCATGAGTGAGTGGAAGTGCAAGCAAGATGGGCGTAACAAGCAAGCACTGGTACCTGCATCAAGCGTGGAGACTTAGTGCTGCAGTGCAGTGTGCGGCCTACAATCTATGGAGTAATATCGTGCAGTGAGGGACCGGAGAGACGAGCTTCTGGGCCGCCGAGGGAGCGTAACGATTCTCGTCGTCTGCATCAACCAATAAAGCCGAAAATAGCAAATTCGTGGCTTTGTGGCGCCATTTGCTGGTCGTTGCCAGCACAGGTAGCCTCCTCCCTTGTTTCGAGAGGGGTCGGGGCAAACTCAAAAAAGGGAGCCAGCTGCAATCCCCAACCCAATTGCCCGACACCGACGGGATACGCAAACTGCGAGCCCATTACTTGCCTACTAGTTAGCTGGAGGAACGAAGACAAGTCTCTCGAGTGAGCGGACAGGCCCGGCGCGGGCTACGGTTGGCTGGCGGCTCGAGACCGAGCAGAAGTGGTTGCCTGGCGACCCCACAGTGAACTGGACGACGACGCCGAGCGTGAGCTAAAAGATGCGTTTATTTAGTCGGAGATGTACATGATGAAAGTTGAGTGTACGCGGAGCCGAATTGTGTTTGATCGGGCAGAGGGGCGAGCGAGCTCGAAGTGCAGAGGCGTGAAAGTGGAATCGGCGGGGAGATGGAGGAAGAAGACAGTACCTAGGTATACGAGAGAGAAACAAGTACGGAGTATAAATTGTAGAGCTGCGATGGTGAAATCTGAATGGCGCGGGGAGCTGCAGGAGCGAGATAAATAGAAGCGTGCATCTCCTATCATGACGCAGCACCAGCCTCTTTGTGGCGCTCGTGGCAGGGCTTGCAGTAGATTGGTCAAGTTTGGTCGGCACCAGGAGAGCACGCTCCTTGTCCTCCTATCAAAATGGGAAAACATATGATAGAACGACTTTCTTAGCCTGTGATACAGGTAGCACAACCACCACCTCCTGCATCTGCAACTTGCAGCAAAAATTCCGTCGCAACGCACATTGACTGGCTCTCCTGCCGCTGAGCTGAAGCAGTGCCATCGAGGGTGGACACGAACTACTCAAACCCATCCAGCCAGAACAATCCGCAGTGGCTAGCCAGGGCGTAGATGCCGCTAATCAAGGAGACCCCAGCACAAGCGAGCATCACTCAGCCAGTCGGACGCTGAAAGGACCAAATTCACAGCCTGCCACCCGCAACTAGTGCTCTGTTAGCTTGTTTTTTTCTTCTTTGGTCTGCCAGAGTATCCGCTGATGCTGGCTGGATGGACCCAGACGTCTGGCTGCTTTTTCGCCAAGTTGAGCGGAGCGCTATAACCCTCTTTATTATTTGCCTTTGCACCTACTGGAGTACTTTTTGCAGCAGGTTCCTTGTCCCGTAATTACCTTATTAGTACGGAGTACATCCGTAGAGCACTGGTGTCCGGTGTTAGTGCTGCCCTATTCCTCTGTCGTACCTGTATCGCTGTAATACCTCGATCCTGCCCAGCTACCCGCCCTTGGCTCAAGTATTCTTTTCCCCTCAACCCGACGCCCGTGCAGCCCGCAGCTATCTCGGTCGGCTCCTCCCTACGGTAAAAGTGGTTGTACGGCAGACGCAATGTAATAGCCCTCCTCATCAGCCCTCACCAACCACTTTCTTGTGGCCTTGAATCTTGTTTTCTTCATCACGTCTGCTTCTTCCTTCTCCGGCTACTCTCTTCGCCATCTAATCCTGTCGGTTTGCATCATCTCTTGCTTCCATTGCACGTTTGCTTTTCCAATCCTTCAACGCAACTCTCCATTCAAGATTTGCCCGCCCTGACCATCCCGTCCCTCCCCTTATTATTGCTGGCTCCCTGGCGACGCCCGGCTCCTCCTTTGGCCCTGTCTTGCTATCTGCGGTAAGCTCAATCTTTTGTTTCCTTTGCCCTCTGTCTGCCCTTGTCATCGTGTCTCTTGGAGCCAGCTAGTGATAGTATTTGCTCGCTGTTGCTCCTCGACTCCGCTCTCCCTTGCTTTCCACCCGCTTTTGCAGCCCGCTTACTCTTTGTCACCCTGGACAGCGTTTGCTTGTTCTAATAGATTACTCGACCTCGCGGTCCTGATATCAATCCTTCGAGACCCCCTTCGCTTAACTTCTTCATTCCAAAATTGCATCTCTCCGATTCCCTGTTTTCTCACAACCAGAATCGCCTCGTCGCCAGCCTTTTTATTGCCCTTTTCGACCTCGATCTTTTATACCGTCGTTGCTGTGACACACCAGCAATCCCCACATACTCTCACCAGACTGTATACCCGCCAAAAAAAAAAGAACTTGGAGGCAAACCGTCTTCGCTTCGAGATAATCCCAACTAGTCTCAGATCTTGTTTCCCGTCCTAGCTATTTCTCACTGCAGTCTGGTCCTCTCTGGCATGCCATCTGTCACTGCTCCGGCGAGCTTTACTTTCGAGCTGCTATGAGCGACGTTCGTCGTGATTCAACGTTAGTACACTTTCGCCTCGACGCCCCTTCTGCAGCCATATTCGCCCTCATTACCATTAGCTGACTATTCTCCTGCATCTAGCAGCTTTGGAGATCCAAACGCTCAACCGCCGACCCCTCAACAGACTCCCACGTCTGCTTCATTTGCCAGTCCCATCTTCGAAACACCCCAGCAACCGCACGGTTCCTTCACCGACCTGGGTGGCTCGACACCTCGCTTCGCCGAAGAATATTCCGTCTTCAACGCTACTCCTGGAAATCTCAGAGGCTCACAATCCCAGTTCCCTGATTTTGTTCCGCCCACGCCCGTCAATTCCCATAAGCGGCTGCTCTCTACTGAAGGCTTTGCCCTCGAGATTGCGACCCATGCCAACCACTTTTCGCCCAACCCAAACTTGCCACCTGTCGACCCTTCGAAACGACTCGCTTCCTCTCCGAGCCTGAAAAACCCAAAAGATACCGCACGAGAGACCACTCCCATCTCGACTCCCTCCCTCACCAAGGCTAGGTCTGCCAAAAAGCCTCGCCGAGGAACAATTACCAAAGATCCCGACTCCCAGATCATATCTCCGCCACCCACCGTACACAAGGGAGAGCAGAAGCTCGCACCTAATAAGCTCATCATGCAATATGAACAGTCTTTTCACCAACCTGACTTTACTGAGGCAACTCATCCTCACGATATAACGACTCTCATGGCCAACTCGGGCGACATGTTTCACTATCCGCTATCAGCACCCGCTGCTGCTACCGCCAATTTTTGGGATCCCCAAGCATCCATGGGCATGGATCTTGATTTCAATACAGCTGCTCCAGGCATGTTTCCTTCGCCAGGTACTGGTCACCGACAAACTGGCTCATTCGATTGGAACAATAATGTTCAGCTTTTTCAAGACCCAGGCATGCTGCCACCGTCATCTAACCAAGAAAATGTCCAACCACAACAGAGTGTAAACCTGTCAATGAACCAATATACTCAACAACTTGATGATCCATTCGCCATGATGAACAACGGCGAATTGGTTGATCCTAATTTGATGATGGGTCAAAATGGCGCCATGCCTGCCTTTGCCGCAGCTGAGCAGGCAATACCCGCTCCTGGCGTCCCTGCCAGAAAGACGACCTCAAAGCCGAAACTCAATCGCGCAGGAAACAATAAGTCGACAAGCACAGCCAAAGTCCCGGATCGCAAACTGGCCAGCTCACCCCTCAAGCATCCTCGAAACGCACTACAACCGCCCGCAGGTGATTCCCAAGGCCGTGGAAAGTTGATAAGGAGCAACACATTGCCGACGCTGGCTCCCGCAGCTCGATCCATGGCACAAGTTGCTGGTGGCTCTGCTGATGGTGGCCGCCCAATGGCCCGACCCAGTGGAAGAATATCGCCCGCGAAAAACCAACGACGACTATCCTCCTTGGCGTCGATACGGGAGACCTCTACGGCTGTTCAGCGTGCGCCTGTGCGATTCACCATAGATGCTCGGGGCCGCGCAAGAGCAGAGACGACCATGATGGGACAGAGCAGCATGACCCAAAGCCTCCCGAGAAGTAAAAGCAATAGAGACCTGCCATCTCGTTCAACCTGGGATGCCTCTTCCGATGACGAATCTGAAGATGAAGACCCCATCATCATCCCTTCCCGCACAAACTCCTTTAGTGCCTCATTTGCACTCCCCGACCCCCGAAAACCTGTCGGATCCATCTTCCACCGCCCCCGGCGCAGCACAAGTGACAGAAGTAGCAGTTCTGCCGGCGGAGAAATTGGCCACCCGAATGGTGATGAGAGTGAAGCTGAAACTATCCTCAACGAGCAGCGCGGTCGCGGCGGAGATGCCGCTAGCGAACTCGTCAAGTTGGTCGAAAGTCGCCAGAAGCGTTTGAGCCAGCCCAATATGCCAGGGCGACTCCTCACCAATCTTGGTGACTTTCGAAGTGATACCGTTTCGCCGTCCAGTCTCGCCGAGTCTGGTTATGGCACAGATGCACAGGGTGTCCGCTGCGTTTGCAAACGAAGCGGATCCAGTAAAAATGCTTTCATGGTACAATGGTGTGTAAATCAGCTGGACCTTGCCTGTTTCTAAGCTAACATGCCCAAGCGAATCGTGCGAAATGTGGCTCCATGGCAAATGCGTCGGCATCTCAAAACGCACCATGACCAACGTGTATATTTGCGCTTTCTGTGCAAACACGGCTACGCTTGGAGGTGCCCGCTCTCGTGAAGAAATGCATGAAAATGCGCTTGGCATAGCATCACCAGTGGGAAACACGGCGTTTCGATCTTTTCGGTAAAACCACTGTCGAATGTATATTGGCCGGTGTAGATAAGATGGGCACAGCCGGCACATTGGTCGGGAATACGATTCTAGATGCCAATTCTTGATATATATGACGAAAAAAGCTCTCATGTAGCATATGCTAATATTAGTCAATTATTTCTTACTCTTTACGATTGGAGGAATACCCTTTCTGCACCCTACTCCGCGATTATTTTTATACATGAGTTTAGTCCCCACTGAGCCGCTGTGGGCCGGCAGAGCTCTCCGATTTCGGCTGGAGGGGCACCTAACGTTAGAGCATGTGGGCTAAGAGCTCCGATGCTTTTACAACTTTTGGGCCTTTTCTTCTGCATTCATCTAAAATTCCTCCTCCCTTGAATCTGTTTTTCCTCTTCTTATAACCCCCTCAAAATCTTACTATTTCTCACAATGTCCGAGCACAACATTGTCGTTTTTGGCGGCGACCACTGCGGTCCTGAGGTACGTACCCTCCCCCGCCGAAGAGGAGCTTGCTCGGAAACCCCTCCATCCTTTGCTAACACACGCTTGGTTGCATGTAGGTTGTTGCCGAGGGTATCAAGGTACGGACGAATCCCAATTCTTTCATTAAGGAGTGCTGCGAGATGACTTCGCAATGGGGATATAAATTCGTGCTGATTGCCCGCGATGCAGGTCCTCAAGACGGTCGAAAAGTACAGCGCCAAGGCAGGCAAGTTTAACCTCCAGGAGCATCAGCTCGGCGGGGTATGTACCACCTACCACCACCCACCACCCAATTTTCATTTCCTTGCTATCCTCCGGCCGCAAAGAGATGACTGACATTCTCGCGTTTTCCCTCGCCAGTGTTCCATTGACACCTCCGGCACGCCTCTAACCGACGCCGCTCTCGCCGCCGCGCAGGCTGCCGACGCCGTGCTCCTCGGCGCCATCGGCGGCCCCAAATGGGGCACCGGCGCCGTGCGTCCCGAGCAGGGCCTCCTCCGCCTCCGCAAGGAGCTGTCAGCCTACGGCAACCTCCGCCCGTGCTTCTTCGCCTCGGACGCCCTCGTCGACAGCTCCCCGCTCAAGGCGTCCGTCTGCCGCGGCACCGACTTTGTGATTGTGCGGGAGCTCACCGGCGGCATCTACTTTGGCGAGCGCAAGGAGGACGACGGCGACGGCACCGCCTGGGACAAGGAGCCGTACTCGCGGGCCGAGATTCAGCGCGTGGCGCGGCTCGCGGGCTTTTTGGCGCGCGGGCGCGGCGACAAGAAGGTGTGGTCGCTGGACAAGGCCAACGTGCTGGCGACGAGCAGGCTCTGGAGAAGGGTCGTCACGGAGACGTTTGCGGACGAGTTTCCGGAGCTCAAGGTCGAGCACCAGCTGATTGACTCGGCGGCCATGATTATGATTAAGAACCCGACGGCGCTGAATGGTGTCATTGTCACGAGCAACCTCTTTGGCGACATCATCAGCGACGAGGCGAGCGTCATCCCCGGCAGCATCGGCCTGCTCCCGAGCGCGAGCCTTAGCGGCATTCCAGGGCAAAACGGCAAATGCAACGGCATCTACGAGCCCATTCACGGTATGTTTCTTTGCCAATCATTACGACTCATAGCAAAAAAAAAAAAAAAAAANAAAAAATAGACGAAAGGGAGATAAGGTAAAAAGG